GACCTCCGTGTGACCTCCGTGTGACCTCCACGCGCAGGAGTGGAGGTGACGCGGGTTGCCGGGCAGCTGGCGGCCTCACGGACTTGCGATCCGTGCAGATCGCCAGTGCGACCTCTCGCGGCGCGGCAGTCAAGACGAATGGTCCAAGTTGATATGCAACAACTCCTGCAGCTGCGTCACGGAGCAGGGGGAGAAGGGCAGCACTCTGCCGGGCGTGACCTCCCACGTGGGCAGTGACGCTGCTCAAGGTGCCCGACCCGGCAGTCACAAACGGGGACGCCGCAGGTCGCAATCTCGGCAGGCGGGGAAAAGCGTGGGTACTCCCAGCTCATCAGTGGAAGAGTAGACCAAATACACACACCCCCTACTCCCGCCAGTCCCCCCAACACCCGATGCTTAAAAAGGCGCTTTCTTGTCCGACGGTTCGGCTTGGGTCAGGGGATGTCAACGTTGACCGCGAGGTGAGTTGGAGCGAGGTGAGTTGGAGCGACTTCAAGTTCGGCGGTCGACGTTCGGAGCGAGGGCGGCGACCCCCTCCCTCCCTCCCCACCTCCCTCCCCTCCCTCCCTCCCTCCCCACCTCCCCAACTCCCTCCCCTCCCTCCCTCTCTTCCCCACTCCCCCCTCGCTTCCCCACCTCTCTCCCCCCCTCTACTCCCCCCCTCCCCTCCCTCCCCCACCCCCCCACTCTCCCCTTTCTTCCCCCCCTCCCTCCCCCCTCCCTCCCCCCTCCCTCCCCTCTCCCTCCCCCTTCCCTCCCCCTCCCTCCCCCTTCCCTCCCCCTCCCCTCCCTCCCTCTCCCACTCCCCCCTCCCTTCCCCCCCTCCCCTCCCTCCCCTCCCTCCCCCACTCCCCCCTCCATTCCCCTCCTCCCCCTTACGTCCCCCCTCCCTCCCTCCCCCCCTCCCTCCCGTGACCCGTGGATCAAGCGAGGCGACTCGAGACGCGAGCGAGCTGCAGCTGAGAGCGCTCCTCGTGAGCGCTGCCGCGAGAGGCTCGCGGCATTTGGCGCAGCGGCGGCTTCCTCGCCGGCGGCGGCGGCGGCGCGCGACGACGAAATCCCCGCCAAGCTTGGTGGCGTCAGCACGAGGCGAAGCGATTGCAGGGGCTGCGCCTTTAGCGCGAGGCTGCCGCGGTAGGCATGGGGCAGCGTCGTCTCGTGGACTGGCTCAGTGGAGAGCGAGCCGAGCGGCGACCCCATGGACACACAGCCACGTTGCACAGTGGACCTTCTCGTGGGGGACGGGGGGGTAGGGCCCGTGTAGAATACGTTCATTATCACACACAAGGGGGCATGGAATGCAACAATGGAACGTCGTTGTCAGAGCATCATGGGAAATTATGCCTCGCCATCGTCATCATCACCACCATCAACATCACGAACATCATCATCATCAACACCACCACCATCATCAACACCAGCATAATCATGAACACCACCACCATCATCACCACCATCACCATCACGAATATCATCATCATCATCAACACCACCACTATCATCAACACCAGCATAATCATGAACAACACCATCATCATCATCATCACCACCATCAACATCACGAATATCATCATCAACACCACCACCATCATCAACACCAGCATAATCATGAACACCACCATCATCATCATCACTACCATCACCATCAACATCCGAATATCATCATCATCAACACCACCATCATCAACACCAGCATAATCATGAACACCACCATCATCATCATCACCACCATCACCATCAACATCCGAATATCATCATCACCACCACCACCACTATCTTCCTCATCTCACTCTATGCGCGCGCCTCGTGTCGAGCCAGGCGATCCCGATCTTCGGTGGAGTCGTCGATCACTTTGGTCAACGGATTCGAGCGCCGCTCCGGGTTTTCGTGCACACGGCAGTGGCAGCATTTATGGCGCGGCGTGCCATAACATTTATAGCAGCCAAACACTGAGAGAGACACGCACTCTCCTCGAAACACACAGCAGACGACAGGGTCGGGATCGAACCCACGACCTCCTGTGTACCAGGCGAGAGAGTTAACATCTCGCCGTGTTTCTCGTGACACCTCTGGTCCACACACGGTAGCGGGCAGCACTGTCCCACCCGCTCTGTCGCATGACAGTCAAACCAACGCGTGGCTTTCACGCGACCACACGTTGTCGCTGTAACGCGGCTCTTCCATTCGCACAACGCGAAGCGCGCACCGGTATAACGCGAAACGCGCACCCTGTAAATAACGCGGATTCTGAGCGGTCGACGACGAACTACTTTCTTGAGCCGCGCGGCTGGGCGGAGTGATACAGTACTCGGAATGATCAACTTCGTCGTTGCGTTCTCGCCGAACGCGTTCATAATGACTTATATACCCAGGGAAGTCACGCAGAGTCCTAGGACTCTTTTTTTCAGGATGGTCCCGCATTGGGGTTTCTGTTGCATTTTAAAGTCGTCAGCCAATTTACGAAGAGTTTTTTTTACACGCGGGAGGAAAGCGGAGCGCCCGGAGATAAAAAAAAAACCCCTGCGTCTCCTACGACAGATGGGGAGATGAGCCCACTTGCTGTACTCCCCTCATCCGAGCGAGCCAGGGTACGCCACCTCGCCCAAGCCCACGGGCCAAGGGACATTTCGCGACATTTGCGTGACCCGCCAACCCATCGCTGCCTCCACCACGCTGGGTTGAAGGCCACGTGCACAGCCACCGCTGGCGGCGAGGGGGACACGTCGAGGCCTTCTGTCGACGGGCCAGGGCTGGGTGGTGGTGGTGGCCGTCGTCGGCGAGAGGACGTGTGCGCACCCTCCCTGGCAGGGCAAAGGCTGGGTGGTGGTGGTGGTGGCCGTCGCCATCATTGGCGAGAGGACGCGTTCGCACCCTCCCTGGCAGCGAGCGCGTTCCAGCCAGTGACGGGCTCGGGCAGGGCATGGGGGGGGGGGGGGGAGATCAGCAACCCGCAGCCCCAGAGCCGTAGGCGACTGTTTTAAAGAAACCGCCTCGTGACGCTATCCGCTACGGAAGCGCCGTCTCGTATTCATCGTGCGCAGCATCGCGGTTCTTGAAAATATTGATGGGGTGGAGTTAAATCTTTTTTACATGGTTAATAACATCTTTCCAATGATGACTCAGTTTGTACCCATCATCACGGTTGAAGTTATGTCTGTGTTTGTATATCTGGATGGCTTCGTGTACAAACCTTTGATGGTAGCCAGAAGGTTAGCAGAGCACCTTGGTCTCGGAAAAGACAATATCATGAGAGCCCACAGCGTTGTAGCAATGATCAGCAACGGCAGAAGACTCAATTTTGCCGTGTTTCAGATCTGACTTGTGCTCGCGGACACGATCAGAGATATGACGTTTCGTTTCCCTTCAAATCTAGAATTTATGGTGTGTTTTTGTTTTGTTCGTACCGAATTCGAAAAAAAAACCGATGGCTCTTCTTGTTATTTTTGGTGTACCGATCTCCCGTGCGAGGACATCTCGTGGACGGCAGCGATGATGCACGTCACGAGTGCGACCTGCAGGTCACTGCTGGGAATTGCACCGCAGTACTGTGGAGGATGTTCAAGCCGTCCTCCATCCTGTCCCAGCTGGGCCAGCACTGCGGGATCACCAAGCAGAGTCTCGGATAGCCACCAAGTGTTAACTTAAAAAAACAAATTACGAGCAACTTTCTTTAACATCTACGGCAAGTCCTCGCTTAACGCGTGTTCGCACAACGCATTTTCACGATGACGCGGTTCTTCCATTCGGCAACACTGTCGCACAACGCCGAAAGCGTCCGTTATAACGTGGAACGCCCAAAGTTATAACGCGGTTTCTGACGAACTACTTTGAGCTCCGCGGCTGAGCGGAGTGATACTGTAAGTGGAACAAGTGATACGACCGCATACCCTCAGTTAGTGCCCCTGCCATCTCGCCAAACGTTACATTCATGGGGAAATTGCTTTAGCGGATAGCGTTTTTCGCTCAACACGGTACTTCTCAGGAACGCACCTACAGCGTTCAGCGAAGACTTATTGTTCATCAAAATACCAAGGACCTTACACAGCTGCTTTGTTGATGCCCAATTGACATGTACAGCAACAGACCTTGCTCACTTAACTTTTCCCACCACTTTCTCTGCTATTCGGAGAGTGGTTTAAGTACATAGGAACAACCCACAATCCCATTCTGCTGCTTGATTTCATTTCATTTTGGGTAGTGATCAACATTCAGTTATTGCCCGAGGTCTACATACTGTTGATCCTTCAATGATAGCTGCACCGACAGATCAACCCCAACATCATAGCCTCCAATGTATGTTGATGCCTTCATTCCTGCAGTACAATTTTCTATAAACTTTTCAATCTTTTTGTTACCGTGAAGTGCCTTGGTGAAGCGCCCTCATCCGTTCGTCTCGGTGCTCTCATCACGCAATCTGCAGAGCGTTTCCCATCTTCAAAATTGTTTGAACATGTCTACTTAAGATGTATTCATATTCTTTGGTTCTTTCGGTAAAGTCACGTAGATAGAAAAATAAAAAAATAAGTAAATAAAAATAACACTAATGTAGACTGTAGCCTGGTTCTTAATCGGAGTGTACTGGCAATCTATAATGGTTAAGTTTGGTGAGTGTACTGGCAGTCTATAATATAGACTGTAGCCTGGTTAAGTTTGGTGGGTGTACTGGCAGTCTATAATGTAGACTGTAGCCTGGTTATTAACCTTGGTGGGTGTAATGGCAGTCTATAATGTAGACTGTAGCCTTGTTATTAACCTTGGTGGGTGTACTGGCAGTCTATAATGTAGACTGTAGCCTGGTTCTTAACCTTGGTGGGTGTACTGGAAGTCTATAATGTAGACTGTAGCCTGGTTTTTAAGCTGGTGAGCGCAATTCTTAAGAAAGCAAGTGCAGAGTCAATGAACAGAGATGATAAAACAAGAACTACAACCACCCAGCATTTGCAGTTGCATTGATCAGTCTAAACATAATCGATCAGTCTAAACATAATCAGCCAGTCAGCTTGCATTCGAAGGAATTTATTCGTAAATACATTGACGTTTGGACACAACAACTTTGAATTTCCCACGTGAACAGTTGCATTTAGACATTTAATTTCTGTGCCCAAGTTAATTTGTTTTGTAATTACCGTGAGCCCAGGTCCAATCTCGCAAATACAAGTCACCCATATCTCTGGATTTCTCACGAGGCAAAACAAAATCTACCTGGCGTGACTACACATGACAACAGCAAAGCATCTAAATTAGTAAACATTCAAAAGCACCAACCCCTCCTCCCGCACTAATCTACAATAACAAAAAACATTAAAAAACAACTACTACGATAAAACCAGCTCATTTTACCAAGTAGTTATTAAAACAACTTCTACCCCTTACACTGTAGGTTAATGTGATAAATGTGTTAAATGCCTCTTCAGATATGGGAGGAAAATATGGGCGACTCTGAAAATCAATACTTTGAATGATGGAAGATAATTGAATTCCGCATTACTCTTTAAACATATCACAGAATACAATTAAAATCTCCATCTGCTCTTGAATGCACTTAATCTACTGCTATTAAACACAGGTCCACCGTTTCCAACTTAGCCGACAAAATGTCAGGAAAGTAGCTATTGAAGAACTAGGAGTTAAGTGAAAAAGTGGAAGTGAAATAATCGGTAGCACGCACAGGTTTCCACTGATTAATGTAGTTGAACTTCTTTTGCACTGCAACGTTAGCCAACCGTGGCTAATCGGAGGATTATCCACAAGGACTTTCGGCTAACCATCGAACAAAGATGGTGACTGCATTGCACACTTTCAGATGCGCTTCTGCGGCCATCTGGAATGCTAGTCACTTTAAAAAAATCTGGATTGAAAACTGATTTCTTCAGAACTGCTTTGTGTGTTTAGTTTGTAGTCCTTCCCCCACACCTCCAATTAGCAGGGCTAGCTACGTTCGGCGTGAAAGAAGTTCAACATACATGACAAAACCACGCTACCACTCGCACAGGGAGAATGACCGTGCAGGGTCTGATGAACAATATAACACGCTGACGTGACAAGAGCACTTAACCCATTGCGACGATGTCATTAGGGCACTGGCCGGATGTGAGAGACGTGTATCGGGCATTAATCAACATTTCCAACATGTGGCCCCACTTTAGTAATACATACCAAAGACCTGAAAACGATGACGGCAAAAATTGAAGGAAATTTAATTGGGCTGCACATTTTGCAAATAAACTTGTGCATTGAAACAAGGCCCTCTATGTGGCCTTAGATTTGCTGGCCCCACCACGACCCCTCCCAGCCTTCCGCGTCCCGTACGGACTTTTGCGGACAACGGCGGCCGTTCCTCCTCCCATGACTATGGGCATCTCCACGCTCGCGTTGCTCTGGCTCCAATCGGACGGCATGGTATCCTCAAAAAATGGAAGGGTTTCTGCGGGCAGCGACACCGCCTCTTCCAGGACAGGCGTTGCCTTGACAGCAGACGCCGCCGACTCCTCACCATCTACGTATTGACCTTCCTGAGCATCGCCCTGACCAACAGAGCCAAGAAACGATTCTTCTTCTGCTGCCGGTGCGGTGGCGGCGCAGTCTCCGTAGCTCACTGCATCTTCGCCGTCGTCAACAACAACTCCATCTTCTCCGAGATCGGCCTCCTGCGTTTCTGTTTCCAAATGGTCAAAAGGGGGATTGGCCACATCTTCACCTGAAACACCGTCAGCAGTGGCACCCTCCGACAACTCGGGCTCCCCAGCCGCAGCCTCTGCGAGCTCGTCTTCTTTCAGAAGATCATCGTCGGCATCTTCCTGTGCAATGCCTTGCATCTCTGCCTCATCAGCGGGTGTCTGCTCAGAGCTCTGCGGCGTAGCCAGCTCCGCTGCTGCCTCCCCGACTTCTGCATCATCTTTAGCGGCTGTTTCTTTGCTGGTTTCTTCGCTGACCACTGCCACTGGATTCTGCTTCTTGCCATGGCCGGAGAAAATGAAGAGGTGTTCATATTCGGGGTTGTTAAAGGGTTCTTTGCCCTGGAAAAAAAGAAAGGAAATGATATAAATTAAAAGTCCATCAATGAGTGTCGATCCAAGCTGCTATGTGGCTTCCTAGATTGTGGCACAAACAAACGCAAAAAGAAATGTAGGTGCACTGCACAACTGCACATCCCACACATTCTTAAACTTCTCATGTAATTGGTAACACCACAAATGTAGCAGCAGAGACACAACTGTGCCAGGGTGGTGTTAAAGTTGCATACATTTGATTAAGCTTGTTCATCCAGAAAAGCCTCACAAGTTGCTGAAATTTGTTAATGTAGATTATCGGTGAGTGCGAAGATGCGTGACTATGGGTGGGGTTAAGATGGAGTCTAACCCTGTCCCGCGAGAATCTGAGCCCTGAGATGCCTCAACCCCCCTTCCAGGGCAGGTCAAGGCCATTTCTAATTCAGGGTAGGGAAAAGGATCTCTAAACTATTCTACCATTTCAACTAAACTAATTTTAATTTCACCAGGTAAGGCCCACCGAGCTATGGAGCTCTGATTCAGAACCAACCTGGCTACAAATGATAGCTCAACCAAGTGGCTTATCAAGTGGATATTTATAGCACCCAAATACTCTAAAGTCATGTTTCCAAAATAAGGACAGAAAAACCGGAGGACCGAAGAATAATACACGTGACCACGAGGAAAGAGACATGCAAACTCCAACTATACACATGCATTGTCAGGGTCGGGATCGAACCCACGACCTCCTGTACACCAGGTGAGGGAGTTAACATCTCCTCGCCACCATGGTGCCCCATCAGCACTGCCACATGATCAAGTGGAGCAGCAAAACTGGCGTGTAACCATTACTACTACGACTACCGTTACCCTGCGTACCCAGGAAAGTCTGAATCTTGTGACTCTCATGTTATTCACAGATGCCACGGTGCCGTGGCAGCACCCTGTGGCAGCTGTGAATAATTTAACAATATAAAACTTAGTACGGGGCTTTAATTTCGATGTGCTACGATGGAATTATGGGTACGTAGTAATACATTTTGAATCAATAGATCGACTGAAGCTGGGGAGCATGGCGAATTAAGTACGCAAGAAAATGAATAACTGGGAGTTAGCTAATGCAAGGTTCTTGAGTGAACATCATGGACAGAGCTAAATGGAAGGCCTTGATTGGCGATTATTTGAGAGAGGACACGGCTCAACAGAGACAGTGAGATAATAGATTGTTTGGTTTTGCCACGGAATGATTTGGCAAAATGTCTTTGCAAGACCTTCCAAAACACAACACAGCCAAACAAATAAAAAATGTGAAGCGTACATCAACGCGTCGATTATCATTGTTTTAGTTAAGACGGTAACTTGAAAAACCTCGCATCCAAATTTGGCAATTAGATACGACGGTGTTTCGCTTGAAATTGCACCAAACATCTTCAGCACAAATCCCATATTTAAAGTCAGAATAAAACCATCAATCATGACGAACTACAATATTGCCTGTGAAAACATTCGTGATATTATTTATTATTATAGATTTCTGGGTGCGGCCACCGCACGGAATTTAGAAGTGACGAGTGGTGAGCGTGTGGATGGCCCCGTTAGAGAGCCTAACCGTGAATCCAACCTTTGTTGTCCAAGCAGCTGTGTACACGACACGCTAATGTGTCGAGGTGATCCAAAGTGCACACACCTCTTTGAAGTGCTTGAGGAGGACGGAGTTGTTATCGTTTCCCAGAATGCTCTTGGCAACAGCAACCACCACAGTCTTCCTTTCAGTCACGTACACCTTTGAAAAGAGACAAGCAGGAACTCTCATTGAGATTCAATCGATAGATTTTGGAAGAAACAAACCAAGCTATTTTTATTTCACCAGGTAAGGCCGACTGAACCATACAGCTCTTTTCATAAGCGACCTGGCCGTAAACTATAGCTCCACGAAGGGGCTTATCATGGTGGAAATTTATAGCGACCAAACTCTAAACTAATGTTTCTAAATGTGGAGGGAAAAAACGGAGGACCCGGAGAAGAATCCACGTGACCACGGGGAGAGAGACATGCAAACTCCAACTATAAAGGCATCGGGATCAAACCCACTAGCTCCTGTATACAAGGCGAGGCAGTTAACATCTCCCCACCGTGGTGCCCCTGAACTGGAAAAAATATTAACTGGAAAAGTAAACTTTGGTAAGGAAAAGTTATAGTATTTAAAAAATTGGTTTAGGGTGCCTTTTTATTTCGCATTAGGGCTGCGGCAGGAAGTCAACAACCTGGAAAAATAATCCAAGCGATTTAATTTACAGGAATCTCCCACTGCAACTTAGAGCATGGGGCTCCTGCACAAGTTAATTTACTGGAAATTTAGTGTCTACCCGAGGCATCGAAGCCACCATTCTCATGGCTTGCCAGAATAGGCAGCACATCAAGTGGATTAATTTCCATCCGCAGTGTGCTAACCATAAAGCCACAGCGTCCCATACTCACACACCAATTTATTCTGCTGGTGCTCCGGAGATTCAAGGTGCTGAGCCACCATTGAAAATGTGTACGGCACAAACATATTGCAGGCATGACACTGCACTGCTGTTCTCATCTCCAGTGCTTCATCCAGGACGATTGCTTCTGCACACACGCGCACAGACACACAAAACGATGGTTTGCACTGCTGAACCAGTACAAGGCATTCACGGCACATTTTTTCCACCGGCTATTTGCAGAACCAGTCAAAATCAAAACACGTGAAATGCCGGCCTAACAAGACGACATACGTGAATCTGGTTCGGGACCCCGTAGGTGTCGGGGCCGGGGTTGACGATGCATTTATTGCGTGTGCGATGTTAGTCATTGCAACGCGAGGACAAAGCGACAACGCATCCTGCCAGCCTTTGCAACACATTACGCCACTGAACCATAGAACCAACCTCTTTCTGCTCGCTTTGTAGTCCGCGTGAAGATGTCGTCACTGTTGCCAAGGACGCACTTAGATTCGTTTCCCCGCCTCATAACAAAGTCGGCTTTCCTCCAGATTAGCTTCTGCATACGTCCGGCAACATGGTAGAAAATTGGACACAAGAGATCCTTTAGAAAACTCACACATTTGAAGGTAGTAACACTGAAAGGTCTGTGCGGACAAGTTAACTAAAGCACTTGCTGGGCAGGTGAGTGGCTGGGTGGGTTTTGTGGGTCCATGAGTGGCTGGGTGGCTGAGTGGATGTTGTGGTGGGTGGGTGGCTGAGTGGATGTTGTGGTGGCTGGGTGTATGAGTGGATGTTGTGGTGGATGTGTGTCTGAGTGGGTGTTGTGGTGGCTGAGTGGGTGTTGTCGTGGCTGGGTGTATGAGTGGATGTTGTGGTAGATGTGTGGCTGAGTGGGTGTTGAGGCAGAGCAGCTGGATGATTGACTGGTTGGGTGTCACTGTGGATGGCTGGCTGCTGTGGTGGGTGGCTGGTTACACTGACATGCAGGAACTTGGAGACATCCTTGTCAAACTCCTCTTCAAGGAAAGAGAGCGACTGTTGGTGGTACACACTCTCCAAGTGGCCCTTGATGAAGAACGCTTTGTTCGTGCGGATCTGGCAGAGGCTGCAGCCATACTGTGGCCTGAGTAAGAAAACAGGTGTGGGGAAACAAGTATCAATAAATAGTTGTTATTAATCTGCCCAATAAAGAACAAGGCTAAAAAGTCTAAAATTATTGTTATCGATTGGGGTGTTTGGTCAGTTTTATTAACGACTACAATTGTGGGAGGAAATCAAGGTAAATGGACATAAACAAAATGGGATCATATTCATAGATCGGCACAGATGGTTTCACATCCACTTATTTATATACTGGCGTCTCCCCGTCAGCTCGCAGCCCAGTGGGTCTCGAACTCTCCCGTCCACGTGATACACCTCACCATGCCTCCAGAGAACTGGGGACTACAGGAATGCACCATCGCACCCGGGCCAATAAAAAAAAAACCCAAGGAGGAAGAATTATGCAAATGCGTGGACTGTTCAATGCTCTCCGACATGCATTCATCCGCTGAAGTATATATTTAGTGATAATGTTAAGTCTCAAGCTGTACGTCACTCGTCATCAGGACGTCACATTGCATACGACGTTACCGCCATGGCAAGCAAGCCGACATATTTTTGGTGCCGGATTATTGCCAGGTTTCGGGCAAACCTTCAATCAATTTAAACTTGAGGTAAGTCTACTCTGCATGCCATAGCGAAAGTTATTTGTGTTCAGTACAATTCACCTGGTACTGCTGGAATATAGCAAATTGGTTTGACCTTTTTATGTTTCTGCACTAGGAGGCAGACACAGCGATAGCGCGTTCACTGACTGTTCGCAGAGATTCGTGGTTCGAATCTAGCAGGCGGCCCTGATTAACACTGCAAGTGTAATTCCCATACAATAGGCACCACTGCCCACTTCAGTGGATGAAAGAGCCTGCGATGTTATTTTCGATTTAGTGTAGGCCATTGTGTGCAATCGTTGCCCCTACCACGAACACATAGCAGGACCCTCCTGCAAAGTTTTGGGGAGACTCTTTCAAGTGCGTGCATGCATATATATGGTAAAACACATGTTTCATGCCAATTGTGGTTGTTGTACTTTCTCCAAGTCCATCTTAAAAAAAAAGCGTGACAATTGTGCTTATGCCACATACAGTATAATTAAGTGACTGGGCAACCAAAGGCCTCCAATCACAACCCATCCGAGGTTTGCAGTTCGAAATCGGGCTGGCCACCCTGATTAACACTGAGAGTGAAATAATCATATAGAGTCACAACCCATTTGAATAAGATGCAAGACTCACTTTTTGGTACCTTTCATCCAGTTGACATGCAAAAAAAGCAAAGCAAAATGTTAATCTCTGCTCACAACATTCATGATCTTCATTCTGCCAAGGCAGGGTATGGCTTAGGACATGGTAAACTAGACTCCCATGGTCAGGGGGTCACAGCAATCAATATAACAAGAGGAGCCATGTTTTTCACATTCGGTAAAAGATACCCTCAATATTTCAAAAGCCGCAATGCAGTCCCTTTAATTAAAAAAGCCGCGTGTCTCCGAAGCTGCCGCTCGTCGACCCCTGGTTAAGGCGGCGATACAGGAAAGTGCCGACTGATATTATCTGTTCCTTTTCCCACATGCACTCATTAATTGGCCGAAAACATCTGAATATAGAGGACTGCAAAGCTTGGGCAATTGTTGGAAATACCAGCTCACTGCTTGGCTGCTGCCTTCCAGCTTGTGAGATGCAATTTGCATGAACGACACCATCCAAATCTAAATATATTTTCATGATAATAAGACAACAGGAGGGTAACAAATGACCATGTCTGGCACAGTAACGAGACTTGAGTGAACGGATTGCTTGTTTGAAGAAACTTTAACCACACCCACTGACCATTGAATAAAATGTAATTTCCTTGAAGTGGTTATACGGGCGAGGTGGCTCAGTGGGAAAGTGAGCAGCCCCCACATCTAAAAGCTTTACGTTAATATCCTGGTTGGGGGGGGGGGGGGAATTTGACTAAGCCCATCTTCCCTCCGTTGGTCGACAAAACAAGTACCAATATGGGGAAGTCAACAGTCGTTGTTCTGTGGGTAAGATTTGCCCCAACCCCCGATTTGTTACCACCGACTCAGGACTGTCAACAGGAGAGGAGCACCAACAACTCAATGCTCATTTGAGTAGGAAAACACCGTGTGAACATATTGGCAGAACACCTTTGGTGTGCGGTATAAAAGCACATTTTTAGTAATAATTATTTTCCCACGATTCGCAATCGCAGTCAGAAAATGTTGTAAGGTGGTGGTGCGTCAAAATCAGTTATCGTGATGACCAAACAGCCGGAAGACGAATGTTTTTACGAGCGGCTGAACACAAAGCTTCACAATCTGTTGCCGTATAGAAGCACCCAGCCCGATGACAAATTGGCTGCTCCGTGCTCCAAAGGCAGATTTGACTCCTCGTGTCCTATGCTTGGTCGCGACGGTTCCTCTATTCGTTTCCGGAATAATTTATTGGTGGACGGTGGCATCAGAAAAGTACGACTCGTGGCGTCACCGCACGTTCGAATGGGAAAGCTGCTGCTGAATCTAAGGCAACTTCTGATGGGAGAATGTGCAGCTCACTCAAGGGCAACGGCGACATCGTAAGACTGTTTTACGAGGACCGGTGTGTTATGCTACACCCGCGTGCCGCTAATGCGTCCATGTATTGACTCGCCTAGCGTTTGGTGTGACATGGCCCACGCTAGTAATGCAAACACAATACCTTTGCGTCTAGGGCCCTTGGGTTTCGTTGACCACAGTCCTCCAAATATACTGGTGGTTTCACTCTCTGGTGCTGAAAAAAACAGTGCAATGGGTTACATTTCATCTAGATTGAATTGTTAAAGATAATTTAACTTATTAGAGTCATTCTTATAGCCATACAAAACAACTCAACATATGTTTACTCTGTAAGTTAAACTTGTAAATGTCAATATTGGAACTTTGAATCATCTGAACTGCAGACAAATTACTTGAACATTTGTGTAACTGATGATGAACATCCACCAGCCAAAAGGGTATGTAAGGCTGGAAACATTTCATAAGAATAATAAACAAAGTTTTAAAAGAAGGCGTAAGACATGGCACAATAATCATGGTTTCAAAAACTCCAGGGTGCTAATTGCAGTCAAGTGCCAGCTCAGATCTCCATATCCCAACAAGTCAACCAGTTTCAGGGGAAATATTTTACTCGACTGCTCTGTGGCTCAGTGGGACGTGGCTTGAAGGGGCCGTAAAAAAAACATTTCCCCAAACCTGATTGGCGGCTCATTGGATACGATGATCTGAGCTGGCAATTGACTGCAGTTCGGCCACCCCCACAATAACTTTTGAAACACAGAAAAGTGTTTTAAAATGCATTGCATAACAGTAAGTCGCAGGAAGTATTGCATGTGGAAATGACACGAGTAATAATCCATCTCCCTTGCCTATCCTGCTACTGCTACTCCATGCCCGGCCCGCAGCTACGACTAGGCAAACACTCCCCCTACCACTATCCATATCACTACCCCTATCACTACCAACCCTGATCACTACCCCAACCCCTCATACACTCCAACCTGTCTTCCTTGCCGTCACCATAACGACACCACCACTTTTAATAACCCCACTATTTATTCTCACCACTATTATCAAATGTACAATTTTATGATTGCAAAGCACCTTGGACTAAGGCGCTATATAAAATCTATATGACAAGACCTGGTCATGGCTATCAGCCCAAAATAGTCAGAAAGGTGACCTTTAATTTAGGACAGCAATGGAACTGGGCAACTGCGTACAAATTTCATCGCGATTGAGCCTCGTCACAACACACGAGCCATCACTGCCGACTGCAGACATTTGTGCCAGAGGGAATTGTGTTGGCCAGCCCTCTCCCTTTGTGCCGTGGGTACAACTTGGCAGAATGCTATGAAGACAAATTTAAGAAAACCCACCATCCAAACAAAATGTTTGCAGTCTGGAAACGAATAATAATACATGTGAAAAGGTGTTTTAAGATCGGAGAACAGAAAATCCCAGCTTGTTTGTAAGATGCATCACAACTTGTAACCACTGCCAATAATGGAATACACATCTGGTCACACAATTATTAGTCATACCCCCAAACATTTTTCTTTAAAATATGGGGAAAAAGTGCATCTTGTAATTGTGGGTGCACCGAGCGTACAAAATCAACGTCACAGATCCCCTCACGTCGCCGTTCGGAACGAGGCCATTGTGTGCCATATTCATGGTCCAAATGTCAACATTACCCTCAATTTGCTCAACTGTAATTGCCGGCAAGTCTATAAAGGCATGCGATAGCCCTGCACCATAATAACGGTGCGAATACCAAATGTACTAATTTATCAATGCTGAAACGTTCTTATATAGATTAACTCGCCCATCCACTGAAAATGAGTCGTTCTCGGATCGCGCGTACTTACAGTGATCTTCAAATCTGGTTTTTTTGGCCAACGGCTGCTCACCCTGGGTCAGTTTCCTCTTCACTGCGCCTCCAGATTGCTGTGCATTTGTCACCCCGGTTGCCTCTCCGGTCTGCATCACCACAACAGGTCAGCTCTTAAACCATCCTCTCTCGACTTGCACCAACACATTGGCAGCAACACGAAACAAACATAATTAACAAGCAACTGATGGAACATCCCAGGCAAGACCACGGGAAATTGATTCAGCAGGGATTTTCCTGCATACACAAATATTGCCAAGGTTTTACAATTTACTTTTTCGTGAAATTACGTGATACGATATACAATTTACAGATGTGACGACTGTCCTGTTATCCGTTTCACATAACTATGGAATTGTATTTCACATTTTATATTGTTTTTGTCTAGCTGTACAGCAAGATGTCGGAAACGTTCTTCGACTGAAGTTCACTCAACAAAATCCTGCCACAGGCCTGCACATTTACAACCTGCAACACCGACAGAGGCACATGCCGTCACTGTTATACGTCAAAGAAGTAATGACATACACTACACAAATTATGACGTGATACAACGACCACGTCATCAGTTACTCCTAATAACATTTAGAAAAGCACCAATTTAAAAGATAATTGACATTTATAACTTGAATTAATGCTTGAACTGCCAGAAAGTATTTGTCTAAATACATTTATAAAAGGAACATAAACCACGATTTGTCGATATTTTGCACATCCAGCCGATACGATCATCGTGGATCTACTTGTTGTACGTATTGTAGCATAAAAATAACGCGGCCAAGCAGCAGCATTACCGTTGTTACGGAAATGCAACTGGAGGGAAACGCCGTTGGAAAAACCCAGCGGGAAACACCCGACCCCAAACCAGTGTCAAAAACACTCGCATACGACAATAACAGCGGCGCAGAAAAATGTAACAAGCGATGTTTTGGGCATTGGCTCTTCTTGACAGCACGCATGTAAAACTCTTGAGCTGTGAATAAGGGTCATTGCCCGAAATGTCACCGATGATATACTTACTTTTTTGTTTTGTCCGGCCAGTGTCATTGACAAATGTATTGAATGTTCGTGTTATTTGTGCTTGTGCCCCACTGGTAATGCAGCGGTATTACCAAATAATGTTTAATCGGTGGCAACTATTTTCCAAGGTAACAAGTGCAACTATTATATGTTAAATTTCGATTTAAAGCTTTCGTGACTGCAGGGATTCATCTTCTTGGTTCGTTCGGTAAAGTCACGTAGAAGGGAAGTAATAAAATAATAAAAAGAAAACATAATAAAATAAAATAATTCTCACGACGTTTCGGCTACAACGCAAGCAGCCGTCTTCAGGTGAAGAATGAGACACTACCAAGCTAGGAGCTTATATATAAGCTGCGTTGGGGGTGGAAGAGCGCCTTAACAAAAAGAATGTGCATATGAAGAGAAATTTAGCATATTCATGGAAAATGCGTAGGAGGTGGGCGGGGGGGTTTCAAAGTCATATTATGCCCATGCATTATGCAGGATCAGCAGCACCAAGGGGGGGTGCAGTATATAGTACGGTATATGCTCGTGTGATGTAAGAGAATAAAGTTTAGATGGAAGCATATTATATAATTTTTACGACGTAGAATTGTAATGTATTACTTGCTGTTAGTAACTCAGCTTATTGTAGAGTATAGTAAGCATACTGATGGTGCTATGCAGTTTATACTTTAGTTTTTAATGTAGTTTATACTTTAGTTTTCTACGTGGTTGTTGAGTAACTGCAGCTACATATCATTAACATTCCTTTCCTTTGTTACTGCTAATCCCTGCACCCCCCCTTGGTGCTGCTGATCCTGCATAATGCATGGGCATAATGACTTTGAAACCCCCCCGCCCACCTCCTACGCATTTCCCATGAATATGCTAAATTCCTCTTCATATGCACATTCTTTTTGTTAAGGCGCTCTTCCACCCCCAACGCAGCTTATATATAAGCTCCTAGCTTGGTAGTGTCTCATTCTTCACCTGAAGACGGCTGCTTGCGTTGTAGCCGAAACGTCGTGAGAATTATTTTATTTTATTATGTTTTCTTTTTATTATTTTATTACTTCCCTTCTACGTGACTTTACCGAAAGAACCAATAAGATATTATATGTTAGTTGATCAGTTGATACCTGAATTAACTTGTGAATGGTAAACTCGACTGTGGGATAAAAAAAACTAGTGGAGGTCAACAACCTCACAGTGTACTTGGCCAAGGCCTCTGTAAACATTCTAACAAGGTCTATACGAGACACGTTTCAAACGTATCAAGTGATTGCAAGCGTCTTCATCGAGTGCTCTGCCAGGTTTCTTGGTTCAAGCTCCCTCCGCCCAGTCTGAACCAGAGTTCTCAGTTTTTGTTAAACAGCCTTTCTTAAAGTCACCTCACAAGCACGTTTCCTTGTTCTACCTCTAGGCCGGTTTCCACAACATAATTTCTTCTACAGCTTCGTCCAGGAAGCCGTTCCCCTCAGCAAAACGCTCAATCCACATCGTTTGCTTTCTCCAAATTGTCCCAAATTCACTTCTCACCTCCTGACCCAGGCATCTAGCACTTTCTTAATTCTGTGCGGTAGATTTTCTTCACCGGACCACCGCACCTACATCTCAAGACTGAATATTTTCCTGAGGTCTTTCTTTCTCAACATCGCTGCCTGATAAAACGCCACATTTCAGGTTAGTCTTAGCAAGCCTCTTCTTTAACTCCCTGCCAATACAATCTTACCAGCAACACCTTATATGCAGCACTTGCCTATGCAATGGGAAATAAGTTAATGTTTTGTAAATATAACCGAACCACATATTACAGCAAAAAATCTAAGCTTGTTTATAGTTGAATAATTATAATATTAAAACAGGGCATCATTTGCATTTGGTATTAGTTTCACAGCTGTAACTATATGGATTTAGTACGCTTACCACCTGATCTCTTGACTACCGACCAATTATCCTTGCTCCTGTTATCACCGAATTCTTCACCAGCAAGCAACTGTGAAAACTTTTAAAGAGACTCTCGAATTTGCAAGCCATTACTATGGGTTTCATAAAGTCCATTCAACAGTCAACCGCTTTGATTCAATGCCACATTTATGGAGTTCTGCCCTCAAAGGCCTCTGTAAAGTCAAGAGTAGTAAACTCTCAATATTGCTAAGGCCTTTGACAGGGGCTGCACGCTCTGCTCATTAACAACAAAACTTTAAACGTCCATCCTTTTGGTTTAGAGCCCGAGTCGGCGCTTCGTACGGGTAGCACCCCTGCTATGACGAGCAAGGTGCCTTCCGTTAAGAGGACTCCACCGCAAACGATGCACGGCGAGCCCTGGCTGCAGTAAAGCGGGCATCCCACCGAATTTATGGTGCCAGGGCCTGAGGCTTGACTGTGGCTGAATCTGGGGGGTGTGAGGTGGGGGTGCGAGGTGGGGGTGCGCGGCGGGAGGGGGGGGGGCAAGGGAGGGTGGAGCACGTATGACGGCGCTCCTCCGACCCCAGCGCCACCAGCGTGATGGATGAGCACGAGGCAGCACCTCCGCTTAGTACGATGTTTAAAAAGAGCCAGGCGCACCAGCCATTACCAACCCGACACTGGCTCTGTGGGCCAATTGCTCGAGTCATTTTCAATCTCAATCTCCAAATAAAATTTGCATCAATGGCATCACCACTCCCACAGCGAGCAGAGCATCACAATGTGGCGGAGAAGGGACCACATAAAATGACATCAAAGAACTACTTCTGGAGTCATTTCAATAGGCCTCTTCTCATCCAACAATGGAAAGTGCTCTCATACACCCTGTTAAAGAGTTTACCGCATGCCACTCAAGCCAAGACCTCCACCCCCAGAGCTGGCATCTTCAATCTGTCAATTTGAGTGACAACTAATTTAAGATGGTCGTATTTGTGCGGTCACTGGCGACTTGGCCGAGACCATCACCTCCCTTCACTTTAGAGCCTGGTTTAATCACGGGCGGTCGCCCAGATTTGAACCCAGGATCGAAGCAGGGCTGGGCTCGTTGCTCCAACACGGCCATTTCATGCCGAGTGAGCCGGCCTTCCACTTCTTTAAACAGGGACAACAAAAAGCGGCCGCTACTTACAGACGGCACATTGGCCATGCCAGACGGTCCCGTGCAGGCGCCGCCGCCCACCTCCGAGCCGGCACTGCTCACCGGCTGCTTGCCGAGGTGGCCCTTCTCTGCTCCAGAAGCCCCATCCCCCGGCTGGGCGCCTGAGGACGGCAGCTTCTGAGCGGGCACCATCGCGTTGATCTTGTTTGGAAGCCACTTCAATTTCCGCTTTTGGTTTTTGGACAGCACCGTCGTGCCAACTGCCTTGGTAGTGGGGGGAGCCTTGGCCGGCAAGCTCTGCTGGCCGACCTGGCCCTTTGGCGCAATGCTCTCTTTTTTCTGCCCTACACCACCAACAAGACTTGGAACCTTGGCCCCGCTCACAGGGGTCTGCTTAGCTGGTTGGCTGCGCAAGTCCAACTTCCCCGTCTGACTCTGAGAGCCCGAGCGCTGACTGGACCAATTCGAAGAGCCCTGCCCGGCCCTGGCAGTCTGGTTTCCGTAGCCCTGCCCGTCAGATTTCCACTGCGCGTTGGGCATACCGCCACGTCCTCGGGAGCTGCCCACCCATTTGCCCCGCTTGCCCCGACCACTTGGCTGCCATCCAGTGCCCTGCGAGAAGTCATGCCCCTTCGAGTAGCCCTGCCCCCTGTTCTGCCAAGAATAATCGGGCTGCCATGAGCTGCTGCTGCGGCCATACTGGCCTTGGTGCTGCTGCCCACTGCGCGGCTGGTAGTTGTAGTCGGTGGTTTGACGGGTCATCTGACTGTTGTAAGGCTCGCTGTAGCCTGCGCTATAACCGGATCCTAGCTGTGACGAGTCATTCGATCTGCGATAGCTGTACCTGTAAACCAACCACAAGCCACGTTACAAACAAAACAAGCTGGTAAGCCATTCCTTTTGAGTGTGCCTGTTTTTTTTAGAGAACTTGAATTTACAAATGCACACGAAGAAAGGTGCAAACCCACACACACATTGGGGGTGGGCTTACAACATCATTGAACTAGACAGTCAGGCTGGCAAACAGTAAAATGAAAATATTTAAATAGAAAAATGCTTGACTTAAAGCTTTCGTGACTGCAGGAATTCATATTCTTTGGGTCTTTCGGTAAAGCCACGTAGATAGAAAAATAATAACATCACGACATTTATATCGCAACACAAGAAATCGTCAAATAGCGGGAGAGCTGCTGAGGTAGGATATATTTTTTTCCTGCCTCAGCAGCTCTCCCCGCTATATTTTTCACCTGATGACGATTGCTTGTGTTGCGATCGAAATGTCATGATAATGTTATTATTTTTCTATCTACATGGCTTTACCAAAAGACCCAAAGAATAGAAAAATGCTTTTTTATACAGAAATCAATGTGCTCCATTCCAAATTGTACCATGTGCAGTTGTTCACCACCACACGTAGGTTGATGAAATTTGAAGACTTTAGGTAACTCAAACTATCACGATTGTTCAGCGTTGAGAAAACCCTGTCTTGGTAGTTTCCCAATTTGTCCGCAATGTACTCTAAACTGTTCTACCAAACACACGACTGTGGATTAAAGTAACCACAACTCTATACCAAGTGCTAATTAACTGTCAAGCGAGTCATTTTGAAATATGGACTTAAAATAAACTGCACCTGGCAGGAACACAATGCGTTGGTAATTTTGCAGACATAGAAAAATCCCTTTTGGTAAAACCCCACTTTGTAAACGTGCGAGCAATGTTTCACTTACTCTTGTGATGACGACCAATCCTTCGGATAGCCCGATTCTGAGACTGTAGAAAGACACAAAAGTGCAGCCACTTTGGCACAGAACTCTCAATACCAGAAATGAGGTCAATCCTCACAATGAGAAAAATAAAAAGCTCCCATCCAATACCTGTCAACCCAAACGGCTTACCCATATTCTTGGACAGAGAAATTGAGTTCAGGTCTATATAGCATACAGCCGTTTCAATACTGGCAAAAATGTTGCGTATTTGTCTGCGTCTCCATTGTGATGGGACTTTGTAGGATGAACATTGAGATTTATAAGGGCACGGGGTGACCAATAAAGGTCTGAATTGGTCTGTAATAAGATAGGCACTGATAAGGGGTTGACAGGTATGCCATACTGTTGCATGTTTGAAATAGTAATGGTTGGAGCTTGGCTTTCCAATTATTTTGTGCAAAAGCATATTTTTATCCGGTGCATTCTGCACGATTTGGTGATAGGATTTACAGAAAAGTGGTGACATATTGCACCACGCTGTTGCCCAATCGACATCTCACACAGCCCAGACACTCACCTGAGGCGGCAGGCTGGGATCCGTCCGAAGTCATCATCTTCAGCATGGTGCTCAGCAGCGCAGCGGCTGTGCTGTAATTACCATCACTTCTGCTGTCTTTATGCATGCCTTGGGAAGACAGGAGACGAATTAAGTATATGCACAGCAAAAAAAGCAACAGAAATCTCGAAGGACATCTTTGTAATTATCTCCGTTGAAAGTTATGTTTGCAAAAAAAGCAGCAAGTGCACACGTGCGTCATTGGAGCGGAATCTGAAGATAAAACTTACGACGTATATGTACGGCATCGGAATTGGAAAGGGTAATAGCGGTAAACACTTTTTTTTTTACATTTTCCACTTCGGGTGGTCTGTAATTATCACCGTCAGTAACAATAAAATCGAGTTTGCTATAGCGCAAGGCCCACAAGACCTTTGCATAAAATCTTAAGTTTACGGAGAAAGCCTGTACAAAGCGATGAGTTTTAAGCCGTGATTTAAAAACGTTAACAGACGCAAAATCCCTAATGAACGAGGGAATTCCACAATCCGCACCTCTGATCAGCACGGTTGGCTACATACGGTGCTAAAGAAGTTCAACATACATAAAGATGATTCAATATGAATGAAACTTTAGTATAAAGACATGTTTCTCTTCGAGAAAAGTGGACAAACTGGTCAGTTGGGCAAAACGTTTAAAACGAACTGGAGCAAAAATAACTATTAATGCTCGGGGCTTTTATTTCCATGCATCTATGGGGTCAGGAGTCACTTCCGCAACAATAACCACACGGATGTTGCATTTAGGATGGTGACTTTATTTCCATATATTTCAGATGAATTTGCATAAATGTGGCACCTTCGTACGAGTCTTGCATATCAGAAACTCTTGTCGACCTCCTTCCATCATTGTCCCAATTGCCACTGTTATCCCCACGGTAGTAGCTACCACCACCACCTGCTCAACACAAAAACAACAGCTTCTTTCAATCGCATCGGGTTATGGCGATTCAACGTGTTAAACACAGGGATCAGCTTGAATGATTAACAATCACCCGAGTTACTATAAAGGAGGGTAAATACTTCGAACATATGCAGTACGTGAAATAAGCAAACATTGGGGGAACATTTATTTGAAATACAACTCCTTCAATAATAAATCTTCCCGAACGCAGTGGAGGTGGACGGAGCGATGAAATAATCTCGTGCGCAGGATGGGGGTTTGTGTTGCTGCATTTGCGAGACACGGCGGGAGGCCTTCAGCCAGCAATGGCTCGCGACCATAGCTGATGAGGATGATGATCGTCTTTACAGCGATTGCTGAACGAAGGCCCGAAGGCCCAACGCGCCAAGCGGTCGGCTAACAAACAACAGCACTCGCCATTGATGGTGTATACATGGGTTACTGTTTTTAAATCCTTTATATTAAGTTCGCTTGCTTGCTTACGACCGTGCAAATCTTTCGGTCGTTTTTTAACCCACTTCCCGTGATCCATTCAAGCTGACATTTTGCACACAGACTCGTTGTGCGAGACAATTAATGTTCGTGAAAAAAACAATTCAAAAATTTTACACTGTGTAGGGAAAACAAATTAAATATTTAATTACCAATTGCTTAATACTGGCAGACAATCATCTGACCCATAGGTGGCAGCCATCTCAAGCCAGAGGACGAGAGTACTCTAGCCGCCACGCATATAAAGGATTTCTAGTGAAAAACTTTGTTTTTACGGGTTATACTTGTTAGGTTATCGTGATTGATGAGCACGGGCCTAAAGACCGAGAACGAGAAGCGGCCAGCAATACACAGCACTCTTGAAGGCCAAAGAGTATGGATCCTTGCAGTCACAAAAACTTCAAATCTATAATGAACCACCTCTACGGGGAGGGATTCCACTTGTGTGTTAGAGCTTTTAACAGACAACGCGATAAGAAATCACAGCTAATCGAGTACTTCAGTAAACATTTCTTGCTGTGGTTGTCACACCTGATGATGATTGCTTGTGTTGCAATCGAAACGTCGTGATTTATTTATTCAAAATTTTCACCTACGTGACTTTACCGAAAGAACCAAAGAGTATTCTCTTGAAGGCGTTCAAAGACAAGAGTAAATATGTTAACTGAACGGAGCAAGGCAGGTGCACGATACAATTTAACAACACTTAACACATTCTATCCCATTGCGTGGCCTTAATTAGGAACAATATGTATTCTTTGTTTCGTTCGGTCAAATCACGTACTGTAGATAGAAAATAAAAAGAATAAAATTAATAAAACTCACGACGTTTCGATCGCAACACAAGCGGTCATCAGGCGCAGAGAAAAGGGGGCAAACCTCCAACTTAACAATATGACTGGGGACATTTGGGGCAGTGGTCAGTCATTCGTCTTCACGTGCTATGAAGAGAATAGGCGACGTTTCGGGCAGCGGACCCTCCACAGCACATGGGCCATTGTGCCCTCAGGCCTTGCCCCAAGGCGTTGGCGCCATGTCACCAAAGACTTGCCCTCACCACGATCGAGACGTGCGAAAGAACACGCACAACGCGATGTGACAGCGGCGTTACCAAGTTCTAGAAGCGCAGGAGATTATATAATCGTCGTTTTTTGTTCACCTTAATTTATTTTACGGACGAAGACAGCCGCGCAAGAAAGAGCTTACCTCTGTACGACGCCATCTTAAGGTTCTTCGCGAAGGAGAGTGACGTCACGGCGCGATGACGTCACGACGTATTTTTGCACAGAAGCGCCGTGACGTCACAACGCAAACGACGGCACGCGTGTTTCGGGGTTTTAACGCGACGGGATGACGTCATCCGAGTTTCATGCACAATTTCCTGAGGTGACGTCAGAAACGTGATGACGTAATACACGCTCTAATCACAATATTTATACGAGGAATCCGATGAGCCAAACAGCTATTTTTCAATGATATCCAGAGATGTCAATGTTCGGTATCCTCAGTGTAAATAATCTATGAATTGATTATCGCACGTACTAAACACGACGTGATGACGTCACACAACGAAGGAGCCTGGCCAACCTTTGCGTGATGACGTTGCACTCAATGAAAGAGCCAGACGGGTCATGCGTGATGACGTCATCACGCACGTCCGAAGCCTCCGTCTTGCCTAGCGCGAGGCGATTGTTGGATCAGCGAGTTACGCGCCGAGGTAAGTCTCGTGTTGATGTTGTTATTTTGATAATTACATTCGCTGCGAGCCAACACGAGACGCCTTGTGAGTATTCAAGAGACTTTAAAAAATAAAGTCACTACAAGCACTCGGGGTGCTGTTAAAAATCGAATACCCCCGAAACCCCACGGGGGCCTAAGGTCGCTCGCTCCTCGCGTGCCACGGGGGGGTGGTGGGGGCGGGGGGGGTTGTGGGGGGCCGGGCGGGTTGTGGGGGGGCGGGTGGGTGGTGGTGGGTTGTGGGGGGTGGTGGTGGGGGCGGGGGGGGTTGTGGGGGGGGCCGGGCGGGTTGTGGGGGGGCGGCTGGGTGGTGGTGGGGTTGTGGGGGGGTGGTGGTGGGGGCGGGGGGGATTGTGGGGGGGGGGCCGGGCGGGTTGTGGGGGGGGGCCGGGCGGGTTGTGGGGGGCGGGCGGGTTGTGGGGGGGTGGGTTGTGGGGGGGGCCGGCCGGGTTGTGGGGGGGGCAGGTTGTGGGGGGGGCCGGCCGGGTTGTGGGGGGGTGGGTTGTGGGGGGGGCCGGCCGGGTTGTGGGGGGGTGGGTTGTGGGGGGGGCCGGCCGGGTTGTGGGGGGGGCAGGTTGTGGGGGGGTATCCGGCTCGCAGGGTGCTCCACAAGTCCCGTGACCCCAATTGTATTCTCCAAAGCGTAATACGTTTTACGTTAAGATGAGCCGTGAATATGAAAATCATGTTCAGGGTCAATAAAATGTCACAATTTTTTTTACTTTGTCAGGTAAGGCCCCACTGAGCTAGTTTTTAGAAGCGACCTGGACATCACAAATGATATCCCAACGAAGTTGGCGGCTTATCAGCATCCCCGGTGTGAACATTTATAGCAGCAGCAGCCAAATCCTGTGAACGCGTCGTGACGTCGATTCTAAACGTGGAGGGTAGAACCAGAGACAAATCCACGCGAGAGAGAGAGACACCGCAGACTCCACACATACAGCGGCAGCGGGCGTCAGGGTCGGGATTGAACCCACGACCTCCTGTACACCAGGCGAAGGAGTTCACATCTAGCCACCGTGGCGCCCTTAACTATTAGTAGGCACGCAAAAATCTATCAAAACTTGACCCCTCCCCTGTACGCACACATACTTTTTACCCCCCCCCCCGAATCCTATAGAACGGTCGATATTTAATCCACGCAGAAACGATCAAGGATTAATACTCTGGCTATTTCGGTAAAGTCACGTAGGTATAAATGTGGGTCACTGTACCGTATTCTCGGTGGGTCTTTGTGGGTCTGTTGGTTGGCTTGATGGTAACCCTTTGTTTTGCTTGCATGGCCACAATGGCACTCCTGTGTTTTTTTCTGAAATGTTCCATCTATGGCCTACTGATGGTTAGTTACACAAGTCTACTAGTGATGAACAGCCATGCATAAATATTGCACTGGGTGTAAGGCGGTTAATTGGCCAGGGGAGATTATTTTGTGAAAAGGTCGGATATCTGACACGAAGGACAGACGATTCTATTTTTTTGTTTGAGTCATCACTGAATGTTCATCTGCCCCCTTTGCAACACATACATATAAGATGTCGATTTTTGTGTGCATGTTTATTGAAGCCCTTTTGTCAAGACAGATACTTCTCATCGCAGTGTTGTCTTTTTTTATGTAACTTTCCTACACTGGTCAGTGCGGTTTGATGCTGGTGGGGGTTCTTAGGACAGGTTTAGAGATGATAACTCACCAATGAGGTGGTGAGCTGCGGTAATGAGTCAAACTCAGGCCGCTGGGTTTAGAGGGCACCCTAGCTCCCTTCATACGACTGCAGTGAAAGAAATTGAAGGTGCAAAGTTGTAAAAAAGATGATGCATGCAGAAATTTATAATTCCGAAATGGCAGTGGAATAAATGTATCTTTATAAAAAAAAATCTGGGTTAGGTCACGTAATTTTCTGGCCAAATTTGTGTCTTTAAGACCCTCCACCCGGCACAGTCAAACAAATTAGATTGTCACGTGATGTACAAGCGTTTAACCACGCACCAATTGTACAATTTCTAACTCACCTTTGAGCAAATCTCATTTAAAATCAGCAATTAGATTAACGGCATTTCACTTGAGACAATCTCATGCATCATAAATTCGAATAAAAATCCAGGGTCAGTCGTATCTCATTTCTAAATTTGGTTGAGAATTTCGCTTCAACTTACCGGTGATCTGCAACAATAGATAATAAATGGCGTGTTAAATGCTTGTACACATGGCGGTTGAATTTGTTTGGCTGTGTCGGTTGACGGATCGTAATATCAACTCAAATTTGACCAGATAATTAGGTGGCCTCATCAAAAAAATATTCTATGAATCGTAATAATGTTAAGGAATAATTGTTTTCTGTTTGTGTATAGGTCTGGTAATTTATAAAGATAATCGTTAGTTTCCTTATATTTCTATGAAACCGTGTTGCAGTGGCCTTTGTGAGCTTGAAGTTTGCTTTCTGTTCGCAGCTTCTTGAGACCGCTGTGAGCTCGACAAGCGGACGGGCGTGTGGCGGGCTGTCTCGGCAATGCACCAAACCTCACCGCGCATCAGCGTCCAGTTTGCTGAACACAGCGCCTTCAACAAACAGCGAGAGGGTGGACCGACACTCCATCTCATCTCGTTGACCGTGCTTTGAGGGGTTGTGTGTGTGCGACCTTCAAAGTCACCTAATCGTAGATCGGTCGACTAGCATGGAGCATTCCGCTGAGCAGAAGGACAGCGGCGATCAAAAGAGCTCCGCTTCTCAAGTCCTGGGCTCATCCGCAGCCAACGCCCTTGACCTGGAGATGGCCATGTGGGATTACGAAGCGCAATGGGACACGCCCGGTACCACGGGCTTCCAGACCGATTCCTTGAGCCGGAAGAGAAAGTGCGCAAATACTGACAAGGAGGATCCAGCGGCGACACCGTCGAAAAAACTGAAGGATGACGCCAATGCTAATCAGGTACCTCGTGACACTTCGTGCTGTACGACCAAGTGGCGCCATGGCCGTGCCGGACCGCTTTGGCACGGCTTGAGGCACCAGGTGGTTTTTCCACAGCACAAGCCGGGCTGTGCCACTGACGTCGCACACATTTGCCGAGTCGAGACGCGCGTAGATGACTCGGTGGCACAGTGTCCTTGCGGCGTACTGAATGGACATCACCCGCAGCAATGAACGTGTCAATTTTCTGTCCAGAGTCGTCGAATTGGCCTAATTCCTTGGATCCTTCAGCCAAATAAAAAGTTATTTTATCGGCAGTGAAAGGATGTTGGAGTTAGTTGACTGCCGATAAGGATTTGAGTGCATACATTTGCGACGTAATTGTTATTTCAACACAATGTGTGAACATTCGACGAGGTTGTCCTTCGAGCTCTATCTTGTTTTCTTGCAGGATTTCTTTGTGAACCTTTGGCCGGATGAACTGGAGTTAGACGTTTATCCCCCAGGTATGTGACATCTTACCTGAAGTAATAATAATATCTAAATTCAAGTTCTAAATAAGTTGTTATTCACCATTGCATTTAACATGCAAGCTTTTGCAACTGATATGATTCTTGGTGGATTTTTGTGGTCAAAAAGCTGTGTCAGGGTGTTCAACACACATTGGTATTTCACTCACACGCTCTGCGCCAAAAAGCAATTATGAATTACCCATTAAATGAGTACTTTGCAAAATGTTTTTAAGAGTAATTGACGACGTAGCTCTTTTATTGCATCAGTAATTTTAGTTCATTAAATTAATGTTGGTGTATAACTGACAATGTGCACGACAAGCATCGTGCATCGTAAAGTTGCAGTGATAAGTAGGCTCGTGGCACGCTTATGTTTAGTGAACCACATTTATACAATGTTTTCGCAATCTTTAAGAGTACTGGATGTATGGTCCTGGAAGTTAACATTGATTTCATATCGGAGTGGGAAAATAATCGCGCAGCTGCTCTGTTTGCTATTTGGATTGTGGCTTCCTTCAACCTCTGCTGAGTTGTTTGCAGTCTTTGTTTGGTTTCTCTAGGTGATAACCCAAGAGACCAGAATAAGCATCAGTTGCAAGAGTGACCTGGGGCATTGGTCTGCCTGTAGGGGGCAATGATTGCTATGTATATTGCCAATTGAGTGTATAAATGTTTGACCCATCTGCTGGAGGCAACGCATGTTGATCATTCAGTGTCCAACTTTCGTGTTTTGGATTACAGGGAGCGAAAAAAAGCGACACTGGGCAGAGGTTAGGTGAGTCTTTTATTTGAAAAAAATTTTAGGGCGTTGTGCCCATGCAGACACGTGTACAGATTTCCCTTTATCAAGATTTGACCCTCCGGTGAGATGCACTGTCTTTCTTTGCGAAGGATGCCTGGTGACGTGTTCACTAGCGAGGCACACTCGTGGATGCTTCGCCTGTCTAGGCCTCACCTATTGAGAAGTCACACCTGCATGACCCGCACCTGCGAGAGCCTCAACCTGTCATCGGTCTCACCTGTGTGTAGGCCTCGTGTTTGATGTAGTGACTTGGGGGCTCAGTTGATGGATCGTGCAACAATGCAGTAGACACCCGTCATTGTGTGTTGGAGGAATTTGTCGCTTGCTGTAGAGGTTTGCGGTTTGGGCCTTGCGTCCACCCTGGTTAATATCGCAAGTGAATTAACCGTGAATATGCGGTGTCTACTTCACAGTGAACATTAAATGTATGATAAGGTTATAAAAAAAAAGAGACCGTGTTGCGCCAGCATCACGTTACAAATCTGTCGCATTTTTGTCACAGTGATTCCCGTGACTGGGATGAGTTTATCCACAGGACAACCACGATTGACATCCCCAAAAGAGCGGTCCTTATTTTATTGACCCTGGAGGGATAATGGGTCGAGTCATCCCCCCCCCGCTCCAAACCAGGTTTTGAAATGTCAACCCACCGATTGGACTGCAAGCCGCTTGTTCTACCGCTAAGTCACCTGGCCGGGTGCCTTATTGGTATCATGTCACGTGACTGAGGCGGTGTCCCAAACCAACAGGAATCTCTTGTCGTGCCCGATGTGCCGATTCCGCACGACCGAAGAGGACGAGCTGGAGATGCACTTGAAGAGCAAGCCACACTGCGAGTCGATGAGGATCGTCGATGAATCCTTCGGCGAGAGCCCCATGGCCCTCCGTCTCCTCAGGGTAAATCGCATTGTCGCGTCGCATTGGATTGTAGGAGGGCTTAAGCGTGTAATAGGGGGTTGGTGGTGCGTGTTCTCTTGTGACCGTCGCTCTTTTTCCGCAGGAATTGATGAAAGCTCGAAATGAGAAACGTAAGCAGAGGATGCGATTGAGGGAGGAGGGTGCCTGGGGAAGTACGATGGAACCGACCGTGAATATTCCCTGCGATCCTGATAAAGGTTTTTACGCCACCAGACTCGTGCACCCTTTGCGCGCGTGTCCGTCTGCACGGCTGCTTTCGCGTTTGTGTAGTCTTGCGCTGCTGCCTACACGAGAGAGATGCTTTCTCCCACGTTCCCTTCACGCCACTTAGCTCCGGCCCACGATCACGGGGCAGAGTTTGTTCCCCAGCCGTGCAGGCGCACATCCGAGCCGCTGAGTTTGCTGCCTTCGTTTAAAGACTCGCCCAAACCTGCACTCACCTTGTCGGTATTCACCAGTGACTTTCCTCTCATTCGCATTACGACGGATTAATGACTGCACGTTTCTTTTTTTTACAGCACCGTTGTAACGGCTTACCATTGTAACGGCTTGCCGTCTTACGGCGCTGTAGGAATTATCGTCATCATCATTATTGTTGTTATTGTGACTGACCCTACCATGTCACCCTGTCCAGGTTTTTGAGCCACGCGACGATTCACCGTGTCCCAGATCAACCTTTATATTAACAAATCTCAATTGGCTCCCACTTGGTCATGAATTAATGACATGTGCGTAAGAGGGTGTATTTTTTTAAGAAATGTGTCTTTTGCCCTGTTTTCACAGCACGGCTAAAATTGGATGATGATATGGAGGTTAAAGACATGATTCGGTGTCACGCCTGCAACACCTATTTGGTTAACGATTCTAAAATCCTGAATGAGCACATGGCTTCGAATACACACGTACTCCAGAAACAGGTGAGGCTAAATTGTCTTTCTTAAGTTTTAATACAGTAGCACTTACCGTATTCGACCAGATTATAAGACAAATACATATATTTATTAAAAACATTTGTTGAGCGTTGTGAACTCAGCCACTCTTTGCAATGCATATGTTAGTGGTAGGCAGGTGGTGTTATAATAATGTTTAGTTTCACAGTGTAATTCGTGCAAATTTCATCTCACAATTGCTGAGGAACCACAGACGGGCTGGCAGGCCGCAGCCAGGCGGTGAGCAAGTGTTTCCAACAAGTTGTCCACGATCTGTGATCCTCTACATATTAAGATGTTTTCAACCAATTAGTGTAAATGCAAGTGGGAAGATACCGGAGCACCCAGAGTAAACCCAGTCGTGTGAGGGGGCAACACCATCCCATAAATAAATATTCTGATTCATAAAGAAAGTGACAGGCGATATTAGTCCGCACTTTGCTGTACTGCCTTCTCCTGACAAGCCAGGGTTTATGGCACCTCTTTAACACCCACGGAAAGTGAGCTCCGGAACATTTGTGGGATTCACAAACCCTCGCCTCCACCGTGCTGGATTACAGGCAGAAATTGTAAAAAAATATGGGGCGACGAGGGGAGAGGGTGATGCGTTCGTCGTCACTAACACTGGGTGTGAAAGAGAGCCACGTGATATATGCGGCACCTCGAGAAAGAAGGGGGAGGCGAGTAACATGAGTGGGCTGACAGATTGACAGAAAAGCAGACAACCAGTGTCAACAATGGGCCCAACGCTCTGTGGTCCTATATCTGTATGTTTGGCCAGCTCCATTAGTGAGGGTTTATACCTTTGGAAGGAAATCAGAGTACCCGTAGAAACCCTGCATGTGTGAGTGGGGTGTAACACTCAATCCCTGTACGGATGGGAATTATCCCACTCGATGTACTGCCATCCTGTTGGAAGGTAAAAGTGTACAAGACGGTAGTGAAGCCGATGCTGCTCTATGTGGTCGAGTGCTGGGGCACAAGAAAGAGGGAGGACCAAGAGGATGTTGTGGTGGATGTTGAGTTTAACAAGGAAGGACAGGGTGAGAAATGAAGAAGTGAGAGGAAGACTCAAGGTGGTAGAAATTACAGGGAAGATGACGTAGAAAGGCTGGTGCGGTTCGGTCGTGTGGAGAGATAGCAGGACAATTATGTGGGTCAGAAGGTGCAAGTGATGCAAGTGGAAGGAAAGAGATCAATAGGAAGAAAGAAAAAGAGGTGGGGGGGGGGGGGGGGGCTGTGGTGCGATAGGACACGGTGGCCCGAGGAGCGGAAAGAGCTGAAGCAGGACAGGGCAGTGTGGAGAAGGTTGGCAAGGACAGTGGAACACCCCACATGATGAGTGGGATAAACTGCGTGGGAGACGACTGTACTGCCATCCTGTACTGCCATCCTGTACTGCCATCCTACCCTGGCAAGTCGGGAGATGGTGGCCTCGGTAGCGAGTCAGAAACGTGCACGTGTGCTGTTTCATGACTGAAAACAATTGCAGCAGTGAATTTTACACATGCACTGTCGTGATTAACATGATTGATAATTTATATTTGGGTCACATCACCACGTGAGTAAAAATGGCAATGTGTGTTGTGCACCATACTCCACCTGTTACAGCCAAATAAATAAAGTTGTTACTCAAACAAACATGCCGATTTATTACTGCTACAGCACCACCGGTAATGTTGTTGGAGAGCGAACCACAATGTTTAACAACTGGGTACGGATGTTTCACTGGTAGTTACAACCAGCATAATTTTCAGAATTGTTAAAATCTACAACATATCTGCGTTGTGCTGAAGCAATATTTGGCAGCGATACATGTCCACGTGATGAGCCACTTTGTTGAGCTTTATTTGTGGCCAGTTCGCTTCTGAAAAATAGCTAGGATAGCTCAGTGGGCCTTACCTGCAATTTTTTTTATAATAAATTGGCACGTTTGTTCACGTGACAACTTCATTTATTCGGTTGTCGGGTGGAGGAGGGATGTACAACACACTGGCTTTTTAGTCTCGCAGCCATCTCGGCCAAAAAAATAGTTATGAATCGATCGCAGTTGTGTTGAGCTGAAACGCTGTTTTGCATGTGTTTTAGAATTACTTGGAAGAAAGAAAAGAAGTTGCCATACACGCTGCCAAGTGCATCCTCTCCCAGCCGAAGAATATCCAATTGTTTGAGAAGTACAAAGAGGTTATCCATTTTACTCTTTCTATCATTATTATGTTCATTCCGTTGAAAATGGTTGACCATGTTGTCCACATGCTACCCGATTATTGCTATGATCTTCTTTGGGTCTTTCGGTAAAGTCACGTAGATAGAAAAAATAATTATAATAAAATAATATATAAATAAAATGAAAATAAAGTTAATAAAAAAATATAAGAAAAAATAAGAAAAAAATAAGAAAAAATACAAATATAATGACGTTTTGATTGCAATGTGACTTTACCGAAAGACCCAAAGAATATGAATTTCTGCAGTCACGAAAGCTTTAAGTATTGCTATGACCATTTATAACATTGCTAGCTAGCACTGTTGTTGTCCTCTACTGTTATGAACAATTGTTATTTATGTTAAGTACATGTGAATACATTGTTATGCCACGACAGGCCTTCTTAAAACCCTGCACTTTTGCCAATCACCACTTCTTTTTTTACTTTGTGAAAGCGTTTAGATTATTGCGTTATGTTGATCACGGTAACTGGCTCATGATTAATACCAATTGCACGCCTTAACCCCAGGAATCCTCGGTAAATCTCAGTCCTATTTAATTTTAAATTAAGGTTCTGTACAGAGGTGTTTTGGTCAATTTCTTTTTAAAGCGTTGCTGTGCATGTAGGAGTAAACAGCAGTACCCGGGGAAGGCCCCTTGCATTACAAGGGGAAGAACACTCAAAAGTCCACACAGAAGTGTCTGTGAGATCATTTGATGATATCCCCCCGGCCGAGTTGAGTAAAACTCAATGGGCTTTACTCGGGGAAATAAACTTTTGATTCGGAGACTTCCGATTCATTTGCCAGTCCGCATTCTCCTGACCATGTCACAGCCCAGAGAATTTAGGATTTTTGGATTTTCTCAAATCTGCATGATCCACCAAACGTCACCTTGAAATAACTTGGTAACTAATTACACAATAAAGTTGTAATAACAGGGCTTGGAATTCTAAAAACTAGTCTTGTGGGGTGGTGATGTGGCTCAGCAGTAGCGCCTTTGCAGATTTTTGCAGAGGTTCGCAGTTCGAATCCAGCAGGCCTGCCCTGGTTATTACTGCCGGTGTGTAATAACCATAAAATACCCATTTGCTTCACAGTAGACCTTAAAGATCCCGTGACATTCGAATAGAGCAGCTTATTGTGTGCCAGCATCATGGTCCAAATTGACCAAATTTGAGAAAAAAAATACCTGCGAATTACTCAATTGGGATGCCACACAGCAAAATTACCCGCTACTGTGAAACTACTGCGGACTGTATCTGAAACATGGCACCATTGCGTTACATGAATAGCACGAATGCCAAACTTCCTATCTCATTTCCATTATTAATGCGAAACCGCTCAATTGATTGCAGAGTGTACAGAACTGTTATTCGGGAACCAACATTGACCTTTCTGCGGATGCATTCTCTTGTTTAAAGGCCCTCTATGAGAAAGAGATGGAACAGATGAAGAGGGAAGAGGAGGAACTCTTGCGGAAATTTAAAGAGAGCGTCGGAGCGAGTGTCGAGTCGAGCAAGGCCCAGTCGGGCGCCCTGCAGGCAGCAGAGAGAGCGCCGGAGGGCCCCAAACGGGCTGGACTGGCAAGCAAACCGGCCGGCAACACGAAGGTGGTGGCTCAGAAGGGCAAGAAAGCGATCGCCGAAGCGGGCAGCGTGGTGGCAGTGGTAACCAAGAAAGTGGTTAATGTCGCTGCCAAGACAGCCATGGGCACACGTAAGGCTGTTCCACCAGTCAAGGCTGCTGCACCAGTCAAGGCTGTTACACCACCTAAGGCTGTTGCAACAGGAAAGGCTGTTGCCCGAGTTAAGGCTGTTGGAGCAGTTCAGGCTGTTGCACCACCTAAGGCTGTTGTTGCAACAGGAAAGGCTGTTGTTGCAACACCTAAGGCTGTTGCAACACCTAAGGCTGTTGTTGCAACACCTAAGGCTGTTGTTGCAACACCTAAGGCTGTTGTTGCAACACCTAAGGCTGTTGTTGCAACACCTAAGGCTGTTGTTGCAACACCTAAGGCTGTTGTTGCAACACCTAAGGCTGTTGTTGCAACACCTAAGGCTGTTGTTGCAACACCTAAGGCTGTTGTTGCAACACCTAAGGCTGTTGTTGCAACACCTAAGGCTGTTGTTGCAACACCTAAGGCTGTTGTTGCAACACCTAAGGCTGTTGTTGCAACACCTAAGGCTGTTGTTGCAACACCTAAGGCTGTTGTTGCAACACCTAAGGCTGCTGTTGCAACACCTAAGGCTGCTGTTGCAACACCTAAGGCTGCTGTTGCAACACCTAAGGCTGTTGTTGCAACACCTAAGGCTGCTGTTGCAACACCTCAGCCTGTTGTTGCAACACCCAAGGCTGTTGTTGCAACACCTAAGGCTGCTGTTGCAACACCTCAGCCTGTTGTTGCAACACCCAAGGCTGTTGTTGCAACACCTCAGGCTGTTGTTGCAACACCTAAGGCTGCTGTTGCAACACCTCAGCCTGTTGTTGCAACACCCAAGGCTGTTGTTGCAACACCTAAGGCTGCTGTTGCAACACCTCAGCCTGTTGTTGCAACACCCAAGGCTGCTGTTGCAACACCTAAGGCTGCTGTTGCAACACCTCAGCCTGTTGTTGCAACACCCCAGGCTGTTGTTGCAACACCTCAGGCTGTTGTTGCAACACCTCAGCCTGTTGTTGCAACACCTCAGGCTGTTGTTGCAACACCTAAGGCTGTTGTTGCAACACCTAAGGCTGTTGCAATACCTCAGGCTGTTGTTGCAACACCTCAGGTTGTTGCAACAGGAGGAGTAATTGTTGCAATGGGTAAGGCTACAGGTGTAACTGTAGCAGAAGACACGGCTGCTGGAGCAGGACAAGGCTGTTGCAACAGGAGGCAAGGGTAAGAATAAATCGGGAAGGGCGGTTAAAAAGATTGGTAAGGTTGGAGAACAGAGTAGAAATGTAGCGAAGATAAGCGGAGCAGAAGGGCCACGTTTGGATAAATCTGCCGATGGGGTTAAAGATGCCAACGAGGCAGCGGAGGTTACGGGCAATACTTTGGGACACCTTGCTCAGTCAACTGGTAAGGTCGGTACGATGACCAAGGATGCGATAGAAAACTTACCTGCGCTCCTTGAAGAAACTGGAAAAGTGGATCCTGACACTGAGAAGGTGGCCAGTGTATCTGGTGAGAAGGGTGGTGTGCTTGTCGTTGAGTGTGGCAAAGCAGTTGAAGAAACTAGCATCACTACTGAGGGTGCGAGTGAAGCTTTTAAAAATGATGTCAAAGAGATGGGTTTGACTGAAGGAGCCTGCTGTCCACTTGAAGAGATGAGCAAAAGTGAAAATCTGAGTAAGGCTGTGGAAACAAATCCTGAATATGAAGAACCTGCAGATTTGGTTGAAGAAATGGACACTGGAGAAGCAGGTAGCACATGTAATGAAGATGAAGATTCTTCCAAGTTCATTGAGGGAACAGACAAGACTGGGGAGGCCCGAGAGACAATTGGAAAACCCAGCAGCACAAGAGAATCGGTGGAGTCGGTAAAAGGAAGTGACGCATCTTCTGGAGACTCTGGAGAATTGGTGGGGGCGGTTAAAGAAAGCGACACATCTACTGGAGACTCTGCAAAATTGGTAGAGGCGGTAAAAGGAAGCGACGCTTCTACTGGAGACTCTGGAGAATTGGTGGAGTCGGTAAAAGGAAGTGACGCATCTTCTGGAGACTCTGGAGAATTGGTGGAGTCGGTAAAAGAAAGCGACGCATCTACTGGAGACTCTGCAAAATTGGTAGAGGCGGTAAAAGGAAGCGACGCTTCTACTGGAGACTCTGCAGAATTGGTGGAGGCGGTAAAAGGAAGCGATGGCTCCAGAGGAGGTGAGAGAGCGGTTGAGTCTGCCAAAGGAGAAAGCTCCGCGGCTGAGCTCAGCCAGGACGTGGGGAAGGCGGAGGGGACCCTGGTGAGGTCCGTCAGGGGGAAGAGGGGCAGGGCAGCACAGGGGCGAGGGAAGAAGGGCAGGAGGAACACTCATCCCTCTTAAACACATTCCTGCGGAGGGAGCTGGTAGGAACGTTGGGTTGCTCGGTCAACGGCGGCGTGGTGTATTCCGCAAATATGGCCGACTGTGAGGGCGGGCACAAGCCGGCGTGAGTAGGTTAAACGTTTTATAAGGGCACCACAGGGTGACCAGCCCCTCCCCACCCAGCCCCACCCCTCCCCACCCAGCTCTTCCCCACCCTCCAGAGGTCGCAAACGGGTTTTGATTCCGTACCCGTACCCGGCCGCACCAGGGTCGCAAACGGGTACCCGTACCCGGCCGGGTACGGGTACCCGTATGCTACCCGTACCCTACCCGAAATGAGTGACAAACGGTTACTCACTGGTGACTCACGGCCTACCCGTACCCGGCCGCACCAGGGTCACAAACGGGTACCCGTACCCAGCCGGGTATGGGTAGCCAGGTATCGGGTAGGTTACGGGTATCGGGTACCCGGTTGCAACATCTGCCACCCTCCCCTCCACACCCAGCCCCTCCCCTCCCCACCCTCCCATTTTTGGATGCACGATGGACGGTGGAACCAGGTGGTTTCTACCAGTAAGAGAATCTAATTGAAGAGCCCTAATAGAATCAGAACATATATTTAGACTGGAGAGATCGGCAGAGCTTTGCATCTCTTTTCCCCCAGATGTCTAATCAGGGCGGGTCATGGATGGAGTTGTTCTGTACCACAGGCCACCTGTGAGTTGCAAGAGAAAGCGAGATGTATCATTGAAATCATATTTCACTACCAGCAAAGAGAACTCCTGTACATGCATTGTCTTGAGTGGTACATTGTTACAAATGTAACGACACCAACACACGTTGTACTCGGAGCCCTTTATTCGACGCAGCACCAACATGAGGCCCGGCTTCTTGCTTGTAGCTCGTACTCTCTCCCCAACGTCCTTGCTCCATTAGCTCTTCCCTTTTATCCCTCTTGAGCCCTTCTCTCAAAACGTCTCTCATTGTCTTTTTTCCAACCAATCACCGTCCTCCTCCCTTATAACGGTTCTCAACCGTCGCTTCCCGTTTTTTCAGTTTGAACCTCTCCGCCAATCCCTTCAAACCTTGCCTCCCGGCCAATCACCGTTGAGGCCTCTGCACCAATAGGAGGCCGTGACCTACTTCCTGGAAGTCTGTTTGGCTGCATATTTGCTTGGGGCGAGTGCTCTCGAATTTCGGTCATTACACAAAGCTGACTTTTGTTGTATTTCCTGTTAAATTACGAATTGTATAAACAGCAGATGTGGTTACGGATATAATTTTTTGGTGTTTATGGATGTGCTCTGAATAAATGATTCTTAATACAGTTTCTGGTGACTTGTTATTGTGCAACTATCAGGAAGCCGCGGAAGTTCTGTGGAAAAATGGCGACTGTGTACATTTTACAAGTTGGTATTAATATTTACGACACTTGAAAATGTTGGTATCTTAATGAAAACGTTTCAATCACTGACCCACCAGCGTCGCGTGACGTCATCTCCCGTCACCATCAACATCGCCCCACGCTTGCGTGACGTCATCCTTCCACATCACTGGCTTCGCATTACGTCATGCACGTCTCGACGTCATCATCGCTCTCCAACTCTGGAGTGTCGCGTGACGTTCCCTCCACCGTAGGGATCGTGACGTCATAGCGCGCATTTCGCCCCAATGCGTCCCGTGACGTCATCCCCCCCTCAGCCTGGTGAGCGTAGCGAGTGGTGACGGTGAATGAGAAGTGAATTGATCAGAGGTGTGGACTCGAGTCATGTGACTTGGACTCGAGTCAGACTCGAGTCATGAATTTGATGACTTCAGACTCGACTTGGACTTGCATAACAATGACTTTGTCCCACCTCTGAGGTGTGGACTCGAGTCATGTGACTTGGACTCGAGTCAGACTCGAGTCATGAATTTGATGACTTCAGACTCGACTTGGACTTGCATAACAATGACTTTGTCCCACCTCTGGAATTGATCACAACCGATGATGCTGCTGCTGCATCTTGATAATTAACATTCCTGCGGAGGGAGCTGGTAGGAACGTTGGGTTGCTCGGTCAATGGCCTGCAGGGTCAACGGCGGCGTGGTGTATTCCACAAATATGCCCGATTGTGAGGGCGGGCACAAGCCGGCGTGAGTAGGTTAAACGTTGAGTTTTATAAGGGCACCACGGGGTGACGAGCTCCTCCCCACCCAGCCCCACCCTCCCCTCCCAGCCCCTCCCCACCCTCCCACCCAGCCCCTCCCCACCCAGCCCTCCCCACCCTCTCCACCCAGCCCCACCCTTCCCATTTTTGGATGCACGACGGACGGACAGACACAATAATCCCCCCCCTGTGGGCTGGTGGAACCAGGTGGTTCCTACCAGTATCAATCTCATTTATATTTCTGTCTTGGAAGACCCACCCCAAAGGGACCTTACTATAAACCAACATTCTTCACACATCATTAGACCACACTGAAATGTTCACGCGGGTTTCAACACCTCCGAGACAGACACGTGCTCCGGCGTGATCTCTCTCGGAACTACGCCCTCAATGGTTCAAGTTCATGTATTAGGTGTAACCCTGCGAGCCATTCGGCTCTTGAATCGGGTGCAACCGCAACAAACAAAAACATGAACAAGAAAACATCTTAAAGTGACAATGCAATGCTGAGATGGACTAAAAGACCGACACATTAATATCCTTGTTGACAGTAGTTTTATTTATATATTTACATACATGTCAAATCCCATGACTAAGGACGAGAAGTTTGCCAAGGTTGATTATGGTGTAGTCCGCTCTCTTATCACGTGGTAGTTGCGTTCCTGATGAACACCGGGTTATGGAAAAATCGCATTTTAATAACAATGTAGGATCAAGCAGAGTCCGCGATACGACGTGAGATGCATTTGCAGGGTGAACAGTTTTATCCCGCTCACATCCATGTTATAAAAAAATGTGTTCCCTCATACATTCATCACGTTATATCCAATTCCCGTTATAATAACACGCGGCGCTGTAGGATAACTGATTGTAGTTGATGAGAGAAACGGGTGTTATTTCAAACACGCTCGGCATGTTAACTCCAAACGCGGTTTACAAAACAAACGCAAGGATACTCATTCATCTTGGGACATTCCACGTGGCAATTGACATCACGTGCATCTGCTTCCAGCCCTGAACGAGCGTTGGAAATTCCACATTCCTATGGTGGTGAATGAATCCATCGGACAATGACCATCAACTTCCCACAAAGCGGTATTCATTTTATGGACCCCAAAGGTGACCGAATGGCCGAGTCGAGCCCGAAGCAGGATTGGAACTCGCAACTTTCCGATTGCGAGTCGCCGATTCTTCTGAGCCGCCTGGCCAGGTGAACTATTATCACGTGGGACTTCACGACACGATGCTTCCTCTACATTTCTACAGCTGTGAAATCTACATTCTGGATTCTAAATTTACGCCACGAGATCCTCCAGATTCATTTCAATGTAGATTACAGTTCCGTATGTTTACATTACTCAATAGATTCCTGATGTAGATTCTATAGTAGCCTTGTTTATGTGGATTGTATAAGAGTCTATTTGCACAATAAAATAATTTACAGCCATTATCAAGCCACGGATGGAGGAAGGCCACACCAAGTTGGGTTACGGGGGTTGTTTTGTTGTCGTTTACCACCACACTTGATCGTGTGGTCAGTGCAAGTTGGTGAAGCAAGCGGCACGCGGGACCCGTTCTGTGGCCAGGGATGCCGACTCGGCTGATCAGGTTCGTGGTGCAGCGCGCGCTAACCGCTGTGCCACCGCTCCACGCTTATCGTTACGTCCACGTATATCCACCGCCCAGACCTCTTGCTCGTGAAGCGGGGGTTCAACACGTCCACGGGGTTGGGGCGGCAGCATTTGCATGGTTGACCCGCTGACCCCCTGCCCCCCACCGTAACGCGCCGCTCTCGTTTTCGCGCTCCCCACCAACACCACAGCCGTCGTCGCGGGGCCACCGGACATCGGCTCGTACCTCCCGCCGGTGTGATGTGGCAGTGGGAACACGTCGGCACGGCAGACGCCGCTATCTCCTTGCGCCAATGGACAATTCGGAGCAGCCCGCAGCAAGACTGCGGTCACCGATCTCATACAATAGACCACAATTAACGCCACTGCCGGCTGGCGATCATTTACTGGCAGCGTTTGGAATATTCACGACGCGAATCTTGAAGCCGCGTCCATTTGAGTCTATAGTTCTCTATGTAAGTCTGAATCTATATATGCGAGTATAAATCTCAAACCGTGGATCACACAGGAACGGCAATGCCCGATGCGATAATTCACCAGTGGACTTTCACCGTGAGGCAACCGAAGCCATTCGCTGCCTCACTCGCCAACCTCAACATGAGCATACACAGGCCACTGATCGAATCCCTGGCCGCACGTATGGAGAACCAAAAGCAACAATCCCAGTGACCACGCGGACAACGGAGCTTTGAGCCGGCCATGTCCGCGTCACCGCCGCCCGGGTCACTACTCCAGGGCCTTCAGCTGCTCCTGCAGCTTCTGCTTCTCCGCCTGGAGCTCGCGGATCCTCCACGCGTTTCGCTCTATGCGGTCCTCCAGGAACTGCAGCAGCGGCCCACTCACGTAGGCCATCTGGGAGCACAGGTTCCTCGTGAAAACTGTCAACGCGCAACACAGGAGGGGAGGAGAGTGCGGAGGATTGTCGCGCGGCAGGACGGCGAGAGACGGTAGCGGCTTCTGGAGACCTTCATCCCCAGCGGTGGATTGACCGTGGCTGACAATGGCGAGTGATTTGTGGTATTGGCGTGTTTCCTTTGAAAAATGAACAAACCCCAAGTATAACATGAGCTCATGATGGATATATATATATTATTTATCTGAGACAGCCTTGCCCAGTATCAACACTGTGGGAGAAAAATGAAGCGATGAGAGGAATCTCAAACCCATGCTCGAAGGTCCACACAGATGGGTGCAGGAACCCGCTTGGTGCACTGCCGCCTGCTGCTGGCTGCCTTACAGTCGGATGGGTTTGGAAGCCGAACTAATCCACATCGAGGTTCAAGTCTATTTTGGAGAATTCAGGAGACCAGGGACATACAAAATCCCACCGCGACCCTTTCCTCAACACGCTGGATCGCAGTTGTGTGCCAACCACACAGCGAAAACTACTTTGAGCAATTGCGGTGCTCAGGCAGCACCACTCGTGCTGCTCTCCGGGACAGTTTTGAGCTCTTGTTGCTTTTCTACACAAATATCACACTATGAGACCTCCTTAACGCCTGTTGGCATCATCTGGTCCAACACCAATGGAGACTCGGCTCTAAGAAAAGCTGTCTCGGGTGTGAACCAATCAACTTCAAGGACAGTGCATATCATTATCATCATCAGAGTTGTTTCTTTTTGTTTGCATTTTGACTGCTTGTGTTGTGGTTATTGCAAACATGATGCCTTGTATAAAGGTGTCAGTTTTTGTACCAGTTGAAAGGGTAAAAACCTATTACTATTAAAATATCACACTATTATTACATCTACACTTGTTGACCCAGGAAAGACTCAGTCTCATGACTTTTTTTTTTAAGGAGGGTCCCTGCAAGGTTTTCTCAGCAAAGGATCGCCATGGGTATTTCAATCAAGTGGTGTGTGGTGTAATTTTTTACATTTTGTAATTCTGAATCGCGACGCAGGTACACAATAGCCAACTACTCTTACGAAAGATGCCACTGTGATTTGGGGCAGTGCGTTAGTCCGCTTACCTGTCCCGTTGTGTATCTTAGTGATGGGGTCCAGGCTGGTTAAACTGAAAACACAAACAGAATCAGTCTGAGAGCGGAAACGTCATGTCTACCGTCACTGCCATTTACAACTGGCACAAAAGTATATGCTAATACACTGTAAGGATTATGTAACAAATGAGACGAAATGAGACGCTGTCTTTCCGACAGCTCTGTTCTTCACCCGAGGATGGCTGCTTGTGTTGTGGCCGAAACGTCGTGATAATTTTATTATGTTTTTTATTATTTTATCATTTCCCTTCTACGTGACTTTACCGAAAGATCCAAGAATATGAATCCCTGCAGTCATGAAAGCTTTCAATCGAAATTTAAATGAGACGAAATCAACGAGGCAGATACAAGGATAGACGCAAGACGACATGCGAGACAGTTGGGGGAGGGGAGGTGATGTGGCCCAGCGGCAGGGTGCTTGCCGCTCGCTGCAAAGGTTTACGGTTTGGACCGAGCGGCCGCCCTGGTTATTACCGCGGGTGTGTGAACCGTAAGCTACGCGTCGTCCGATTCACGTTGCACGTTAGAGATCCAGCAACGTCACGGTCCACATTTGGCAAATTCGAAAATTACCCGCAAATTGATACATTGGGATAAGTCGCAGCGCTGATCGCCACCCTATGGACAGGCTACAGGGCTTGAGCAATTGTTGGCAGCGCCAGTTCTGGCTGCCTGCCCACCTGTGTGCAGTTTCCCGCGACCCCGTTTCAAACCGTGCAGGTACAATTGCCGAGATGCAATTCGCACGTTTGACGCTCCACAATAAATACAACAGGTCGCGTGAGATTACAAGCGGGTAATGGATCCCCGTCCCTTCTTGCCGTACGCCACGGCCCCCGTCGCGAGCTGCGAGTACGTATGTTGAACTCCCTTTCGCGCCGTAAGCGCTCACGTACTTGAGAACCCTCCGGTAGGCGTCCTGCTCCTCCTCGCACAGGCTCTTGGGCAGCTCAACGATGGACTCCAGGCACATCTGGCTGATGGTCGGGCACGGCACCACATGCACCGGGATCTCGACTCGCGATATCCTGCAGCACGCACAGAGACAACGTTTGGTGAGTTGTGAGTGTGATGGTGTGGTGAGGGTGTCTGGTGAGAGTGAGTGTCTGGTGAGTTGTGAGAGTGATGGTGTGGTGAGCGTGTCTGGTGAGGCTCGGGAGGCAGTGGTGTGAATAGCGGAGAAGTGAGGGACACTCACTCCTCTTCCCCGGGCACCTTCATGGACTGGAAGCAGGTGAGCAGCACGCGGCCAGTCTGTGGGGGACGGCAGGCGCCGGCCGTTAGGGGAACACAAAGTGACCCACAGTGACAACACACAGTGACACACACAGTGACACACACAGTGACTCACACAGTTACACACACAGTGACCCACACAGAGACCCACACAGTAACACACACAGTGACTCACACAGTTACACACACAGTGACACACACAGTGACTCACACAGTGACACACAGAGACCCACACAGTGGCACACAGTGACTCACACAGTGACACACAGCGTGACTCACACAGTGACACACAGTGACACACACAGTGACCCACACAGCGACCCACAGCGACCCACACAGTGACCCACAGTGACCCACACGGTAACCCACACCCCAAAAACCATCACACAGACCTACACACCGACCTACACCCCAACCAATAACTCACACAGCAACCAACACAATAAGACCACACCCCAGCCCACACACTGGCCAACACACACCAAACAGCAGCTGTCAATTAAAATTATTCATTTTTACTCGTGCCTGCTGGAGCCCAATTCTCTCTGTTTCAAGGCTCTGAACGACAATAACATCTGCAGGACCCATAACGTAGCCGCAGCTACAATCAAATTACAGTACTCAGCTGGGATAAGAGAGCAATCATCGCCCCCTACCGCACAAACTTGGCAGGATCCTCCTGAACAAGTCATGAGGTTCGGCAAGGCGTAATCATAAAATAAACAGCATCCTTTAGTAAGTTGCTTGAACAATATCTGCAGAGCCATAATGGAATGCTCGCGGATCACTGGTGGCCCCTGATGTGCAGCCCCCATCAATAAACAAATGGTTGTTGCTGTCAAACCTCCAATGGTTTCAAATGTGTGGCGGCCCTCACACTGGCGATGGCATATCGGGGGAAAGTGGCTCCGCTCTGAAAATGAAGAACGCTGCGTTAAGAGGGACAGCGTTAGAGGGAGCCCGCAGGGCAGCCGCTGTGGCCTCTCACCTTGGTGTTCTTGTCGTCGGAGAAGCAGGCGAAAATGAGTCCCACGAAGCAATCGTCCATCATCTGGTACATGGCCTGCGTGCCCACGTCTGACACACGCCAACAACTTTCACGCATCTACCACCGTGCACCCCAAACAACCAATCTTCTTCTTCTTCTGGTCCCTTGGCCTGTTGGGCTATGACAGACTCCTTCACCGATATCTCCTTGAAGTGGTTCATCTCCACTTCTACTCTGTCCGTCGCTGCGTCATTCAACTGCGACGGCGTTCCATCCCGCCCATGTCCTGGGTTTCCTCTCTCCCGAGCTCCTTCTCCCGGTCCCTCAGTCGCCATTCACCCCGGCCACATGTCCAAAATACTGCAGGATCCTGAACTAGACCTAAATAAGTAGCCCTGATTCTTTGCTTCATCTATCCAGGACATCCTTGTTTAAGTGCTGCTCATTATAATAAAGTTTAAGAATTCAACGAAAGGCTTTCATTTCGAAGGCAGTGATTCTCCTTTCTTCTTCATTTGTTAAAGAGCCCAAAACATTTCCAATAGCAACAATAATTAGAAGACGCACAGGTAGGCTGGCTGGCATGAGTTTGATGTCTTGATAGAGGTGACTGGGTAGCTCAGGGAGTTAATTTCTGTGTCTGAACACAGCCGACACTGCTGAGATCCTGGGACCCGCACTGGCTGCCACAGTGGTGCGATGGCACCGCAGATTTGCAATCCAGGTCGCCGGTTCGATCCAATCTCCCGGCGCGGCAGTTGAAACGATGCTGCAAGTTTCTTAAACCCTCCCACCCCCCCACCGTCTAGCTACCCCCAGCAGCATAAATGCATTCACCAGTTGATTGCGGTGAACGTTATTACCTGCCCCAAGTGGACATCTGTGAAAAAGAGCTTTATAGCTCATCGGATTCCTCCAGTGTAAATAAACATTCTGATTCTGACTGATGATTGGCCGGTCACATGTGGTGGAGTAAAACGTTGGTACTCCCACCTCTTCCAAGACATCTGGTCAGCATGGAGGCCCTTCTGCCAGCAGTTGAGCCAACAAGCAAATTACAAGGCTGGACCTTCAATGTGGACACTGTCAGAGCGCTACGGCGCGGTTCCTGCTTGCTGTGCACACTCACCGACATGCGAGGGCCACACCGTGATGTGTGGGTGGGAGTGGTACCAGCCCACCACGCGCATCGGCTTCCCACTCTGCACCGCCAGTCTGTGGAAACGAGTCAAGGACCAGCAGAGACGTTGCGGAGACCACGACTGGAACTGGGAACCCATCAGGAGGGCCGGCGGCAGGGCGAACCCGGCTCCCAATCGCAAGGTTGGGAGTTCAAAGGCTGGTTCAGCCCATCGTCCCTCTGATAACACTGGTCAACACACTTTTTCTGGCATAAGGTATTCCAACGCTTTGAAGGTAATTTTGTGGTGCTGATTCCAAATCTGGCCTCAGTTTATCACATCAGGTTTTTGAGATATCAAATATTGCATTTTCAATAAAAACTGTAGAAGAAAAATATTAAATAAATGTGGATATCTATATAAAATGATATTATAAACACACTATCCTAAAAATACAGCACCATATTTTAATACTAAAGCAGTCACTGACTCGCAACAACTTGCAATCATAAGTGACAGAGGTTATTTCAGGTAAAATCAATGAAAATGGGGTATGCCGATATATAAAAATTTGATGTGATAGAGAAAATCTGAGATCAGATTTGGAATCAGCACCCTGGAATTAGTCTAAAACAGCTGCAAAAGTCCAGGCCAGAAAAATGTTTTTTTTGTTGACGAGTGTAATGAGTATCAACAAAACGAGTAGCACCACTTAGTGGCGAAGTTGACAGCGGTTGTCCTATTGAGGCTTCCCTCCATAGTGGACTTTCCACCCCCAGTTCAGCTCTTTAAACAGAATATGTGCACCGTCCCAATGCTCATTTCAGCTAGAAATCACTTGAATTAGTATCTTATATTTACACTTTAATGACACAAAGGTTACAAGCCTTGTAAAATTAGGATATGTAATTCAGAATAATCTTTATCCGAAAGAAATCCGAGAAGCTAAGAAGCTCTTTTTAATAGTTGTTCAGTCGGGGCAGGTCAGAAAGTTACAACAGCAAATGTATACAGGAAAGACCCAAGGAGTCTCAAGAGTAATTTTCAGGTGGGTCCTGCATTGCAATATTTTGCCAATTCCTTTTCAAAAGTCAAAGTGATTTCTCGCCCAAAATGAGCATTAAGGCTAGCGCTCATCCTCTGTACACAGCTGGCTTGGGCCCAAGCAGTAGCGAGGGAGCAGGGATAATGACATGCACAAGACCTATTTGCTGTGTGACATCACAGCAAGCACGGCTCGGCTTCTACGGTGGGCGGGGGGGAAAACACCTGGACACGGCCCGGCACGGCACGGTTGTGCCAGTGGAAAAAGATGGAGAGGTGCAAGCGGCCGCGGGGGGAGGATATCTCGGCCTCTGTGGAGGCGGCCGACAGCTGCTCCGGGGAGATCTCCACGCGGTCTTTGCGCTTGTCCGAGCGCCGGAGGATGATCACCGAGTAGATGTGAACCACCTCGCTTGTGTCCACCTGCAAGAGGGCGACCCAGAGCAGCGGGAGGCTCGGCTGGCGGTACGGCGATCAGTCGGGTCTGGGTGGGATGGGGCCTGTGTCGATGGGGGTCTGTAGGGGCTGAGTGGATGCAGTCTGGCGGTAATGGGGGTAATGGGGGAGAGGTCGGGTCTGGGTGAACTGGGTCTCTAAGACCTGGGTAGATGGAGACTGGGGTGAGTTGGGTCCGTGGGATTTGGGTGGATAGGGTGAATTGGGTCTGTGGGATTTGGGTGGATAGGTTAAATTGGGTCTGTAGTACTTGGGTGAATAGGGTGCATTGGGTCTGTGGGACTTGGCAGACTGGGGTCTGTAACCTGCGGCTTTCCAAGGCCAAATGCGGCTCTTTAAGGACTGCTGCCTTCGTAACGTTATTTTAAGAGGACAACAGTCTCGTATTCATCACGTGCATTGCGGCTCTTGAAAATATTAGTGGTGAGGGTGGTGGTGGTGAGGGTGGTGGTGAGGGTGGCGGTGGCGGTGAGGGTGGCGGTGGTCGTGAGGGTGGTGATGAGGGTGGTGAGGGTGGTGGTGTTGGTGAGAGTGGCGCTGAGGGTGGCGAGGGTGGCGGTGAGGATGGTGGTGAGGGTGGTGGTGAGGGTGGTGAGGGTGGTGGTGAGGGTGGTGAGGGTGGTGGCGGTGAGGGTGGTGGTGAGGGCGGTGAGGGTGGCGGTGGTGGCGGTGAGGGTGGTGGTGAGGGTGTTGGTGAGGGTGGTGGTGAGGGTGGCGAGTGGCCGCTCACCTCCCCGATGCACAGCCCCATGACCTCCTCGCGCTCCGTGGAGAGCGCGTGCGTGAGGCACACGTGGAGCGCGTCCGCGCGCACGCGCGCCGCCTGCACCACCATGACGGGGACGACGACAAGGACGACGACGAGAGAGACGAGGAGAGAGACGAGGCCACCAGTGTCGGATTATTATCCTAGCGGCACAAGTAGCTACACATGTAGTAGTAGCTACGGGCCACGCAGTTCAAAGGGCCCCGCGCTAAATGATTTCGCGCTATCAATTCCGGTTCAGTGATTCTGCACTTGCTCTATTACTATAGTACTATACCGCCTTCGACTTTTATAAACGACTGGGTGTTTAAGGTTAGCGATTTTTTTTCTTATTATCCGGCTGTATAGCAAATGAAAACAATCGATTTACTTTAATCTGCAAGTAAAAAAAAATGTGTTTTTTTTTATGAACGTCCACTTTATAACAAATGTTACAGGCCCCTGCACGAGCTTCAATGCGGCACTGGATGAGGTGATGGGTCTCGAGATCTCGAGGCGGTCTTCTTCTTCTTCTTGCTGTTGTTGTCACTGCGTGGGAGGCGGCGAACGAGGAGTTGTGAGCAGGTTGCGGGGATGGATCGAGCGACGACAAGGGGAGGAAACGACCAGGAGCTGCTGCTGATGATGATGTTGTTGTTGATCCTGAAGTCAACTTCCAAACCGGAAATGCGCGAACCCTCGTCGCGTTGTCAGATCGGAGGATTTTCCCCTCGGACCGGCGATGACGTGAATGTGGGTATACCGCCCTCTAGTGGACACCTCGTGGTGCAGCCCGCATGGCCCCCCCACCCCCACGTGCCCGGCCACCCACCCCCCACGTGCCCGGGGAGGGGCTGGTCACCCTGTGGTGCCCTTATAAAACTCAACGTTTAACCTACTCACGCCGGCTTGTGCCCGCCCTCGCAGTCGGCCACATTTGCGGAATACACCACGCCGCCGTTGATCTTGGCCATTGACCGAGCAACCCAACGTTGCTACCAGCTCCCTCCGCAGCAGGACAATGTGTTTGAATATCCACGAGGGATGGCCATGATGATGCACCGCGCTGAGTCGCTGTCCATGATTCTGTGCTCCCTCCCCGCCCCTCAACAACCAGCATTGGCCAGGGTGGTGAAGTATGGTCAAATAATGGCTATTGTAGCGCAATAGATGAAAAACATTCGAGAATTACAATATTTGCAAAATTGTTTTTATATAAATCACACTCAATATTTTTTACGTGTAGCGTCTACATCGTTTTGTAATAATAATGACAATGTCTATAGCAGTGACATGATAGGCCATTTCAATGGCGTCTATTTTGAGCGTTGCAAAACCACAAACATAACCAAACCAGACTGTCATTGTAGCGTGTTGTATCATCTTGTGCACAAATATCTATGCATGAATGTATGTTTGTCAAAATATTAATGATTTATGTAGGGAGTGCATGAGTATTATTTCCTCTGTGGACTGAATTTGTATCTGTATAGAAATCAAGTATTCTGGAAATGTTCATTCTTGCTTGGTAAAGGGATGTAAAGTTAACGCCTTCCCCAAAAAGTCGGTTTGCACAGTGAAATAATAAGTCATGTTTATTCCCCAAACCAGTTCATTCTGCTTGCAGTTTTGGAAAATAAAGATGTAATTCCGCGAGAGAAATCACTTGAGCTGCTGTGTACTGATTGCGATCTCCAAAACATGACCGCCTGCTTTAAAATTTAAATAAATATTCGCTAAGTATAGATATTTTATATAGTGCCATTCAAGCATTTCATAACGCGGTAGAATGTTTTAAATCCAGTTTTCACACAAAGGCGTGGGAAGCCGGACAAGGCAGACAGAAGTGGCGCAACAATTGCCAAATCTCTGGTTTTATATTTGGACGTTTGGCAAGCTCCACTGATGAGTGTTTATACACCTGCGAGGAGGGTAACAATCCCGTACAGATAAAATGCACTTGTATGTATAACTTCTTTCGCACCACCGTAGGTATCCAATCGTGCACATCGGAGGTGCGGGGGGAGGACAACTGCACACAAAAAGCTGTTCTAAAGAAATCAGTTTTGAATCTAGATTTTAAAGTGCATAGCTCCAGCGCATAAGAGTGTTCCAGACAGATGCAGACGCGCATCTGAAAGCGCGCGATGCGGTCACCGTCTTCGTTCGATGTTGTAGCCAAAGCCGCTGTGAGGATGACCGGAGTTCGCGTGATGGTGGTTTATACTCCTTGGCGAGATCAGCGAGGTATTGTGGTTCATTTGTAGTAAGCAGTGTGTGTAATGAGTGCGACTGGACAATGTGTTCGTTCGGCAACCGGAATTGCCAAACACTGGAAATCCAGGATGTGGACCTCAACCGATCCGTCAACCATTGCCTCCAATGTGCTGGATTTGGGGTGGACACCGGCAGTGCGAGGGCTGATGCCATTTACTTAACCAAGTCTGATTCCTCGTTTTATGGAGGGTCCTGGAATTGTGATATTTGGCAAATTCCGTGAACGCGTGCTTGGTAGCACACACGGGAAGACATTCAGACGCGAGGTAGTAGCACTGAACACTGCTGATGCCTTTGTCACGTCACAGCTCCAACACATCATTGCTTGTACCCCCATTCATGGACGACATCAATAAACGCGAGTAAAACGTCTTGAAGACATTTAATTTGATAAATTCAGCAATATCAAATTACACAACAGTCACTATTCAGGCCTAAACTCTAAAATGAAAAAATCATGTCAGGTGATAAAAAAAGAAACAATTTATATTAATTTACAATTAATCCGGCCAAATGCCTCGACGGTATAGGAAGTGGCTCGTAATCGGAAGGACGTGTGTTGAAATCCTGGTAGGAGGGGGGGGGGGGTGGACTCAGCCCATCATCCGTCCGGAGTAGTTCATACTTGCCCCCGCCATAATAATGTGGAATTTCCACCACCGTCTCAGGGATGTAAACGGAAAATCACTTTCGAAATTAATAGGCTCAATTTTTAACTTGAACCTAAGTGTGCGTTTTCTTTTCCAGGCCACCCCTCCTCTGCTATTTCACTGGATAATTATCCGGTGGCCCGCAAAAGAAAACACAAACACACACTGAAAATATAAAGTCTACCTAACTTAGGGTAAAACAAAAACCTATTTGTTCAGTTGCATTTTGGGTAGGGCCTCATACTCGTCTTCTTCGTCTCCCACGCGTTCGTCCCACTCATCATGTGGCGTGTTCCGCTGTCCTTGCAACCGTCTCCACGCTGCCCTGTGTCCTGCGCCAGCTCTCTGTCCGCTCTCCGGGCCAGCGTGTCCGATCGCACAACATCACCCCCCCCACCTCTTCTTCTGCCTTCTTCATCTTTCCTTCCACTTGCATCACATTTGGCCAGATTAGTATGCTCCCCCTGTGGGTCGGAAGGTGCATACTGATCTGGCCAAATTGCAGTCGCAAGACCCTCCCCACCGCCCGACATCTCCACATTCATTAAACTTGACTTGAAGCTTTCGTGACTGGCAGGAATTCATATTCTATGGATCTTTCGGTAAAGTCACAGAGATAGGTTCAAATAAAATAACAAAAAAATAACAATCTTTGAACCTATCTACGTTACTTTCCCGAAAGACCCAAAGACTATTAATTAAACTGTCATGCGTATAAGTGTGAACGCGGCTATTGGCAACTTGAATAATCTTAAGGACAAGATGCAGAAAGTCTGAATAAAAACATTTGCCAAATCATATTGACTGAAAAAAACCTACTACCTAAGTTCACCTTTTTCTTGTTAACTTAACGTAGAATGAGAGTGACATGTGCAGTCTCTTTGTTTATTAAATTGGTTCACTTTCCAACATGTTTGCAATCGTATGTTTGAACCTTCCAAGGAAGAACAGAAACTAACATAACCAGAGTGCGCGCAACGATAGGTGGGGGGTTATTGTGGTTATACCGCACAGCTCCCTGATGTATTTTTGGGTTGTGCTGCGTATGAGATTGGCACAACATCCGACGTTTCATTGCACGTGCTGGGAGCTTTTTCAGAAATTCAGTTCGTACCACCTCACAGGGTATATCTCAAAAAATGCAGTTTTTTTTTCAAAAGCATGGTTAATCCGCAACCCGGATAATCAAACCACGGACAATTTAGAGTTGACTGAATCCCCATTACGATATAAAAGTCACTGCCCTACGTTTTCTCAAAGCTGTGGTCTGGCTGACTTCTCTTAGTGTTTCATAATCTCTGCATTCATCTCAGCAACTCAAAGCACACAACATCAAATCACATCTTGACCATTCAAAGGGGGACTCCCAGTAGCAGCTGTCCCTGTGTGGTACAAGATGACTCACCACTGGCCTGATATTTGGTATTAGTCCGTCAATAGGGTGTCAGTGATTGCAATGTGTAATCCAAATTAAGTAATCTCCAAATAAAAGAAGTGGTCCATGATGCCAGCACATTTACAGAGCCCCTTCACTCAACGCACTTGGCTTCACTCAAAATTGTGAAAAAATAGAATGATTTAGATGGCAGGGACGTGCAAGGACGCTGGCTGATGTTGCGCCCGAAACGACGTGATTTATTTTATTTTATACCTACGTGACTTTACCGAAAGAACCAACGAGTATGAATCCCTGCAGTCACGAAAGCTTCAAATCAGGAGAGATAATATAATCAAGAGCCGAAATATCGAGAGAGAAGCGTTAGGAACCCACAACCGAACCCTGTGGAACACCGACACCGAGAGTGGAGGGCGAGGAAGCGGAGTGACTGAAGGAGATTTAAAATGTGCGTGAAGAAAAGGTGAGACTTGAGCCAAGAAAGGGGGGTGGGGTGTCAGACGTGCCGAGGTCGGAGAGTGTGAAAAGATGAGTGTTGTGATCAGCAGTGCCAAGCAGATGGGCGTGTGTAGCTTTTCACGGTTCATACACCCCCGCAGCATTAACGAGGGCAACCTGCCGGATTTCATTTGAAGCGTGAACTTCTGCAGCAAGAAGAGGGATGCGCCTACTCCTGGGACCTGCCACCGCTCCTCTCGGCGCCCTTGGCCCCGCGTGGGCGGCCACGGCGGGCACGCGGGCCGCTCCCCCTCCCCCGGGCGGCAGGCCTGCGGGAAGCCGGCACTCCGCATCCTCCTCCTTCCTCGCTCCCCTGTCCAACGCTGCTGCTCTTCACATCCTCCTCGGTGCACACATTCGTCACCTTTTCGGGGCTCTCAACGCCCACGTCGGGAGTAACGCTTGTCTTGTGGCTCTCGGTCGCCCTGTCGGCGCATTTCACGAGCGAGACGTCCCGTTTGGAGTTGCTGCTAGCACCCTCTGCCTGGGTAGGCACTGCGTGTGGACCACCGCCCTTCAGAGACTCTACAAAATGTCCAGGGTTCTCTTTCGCCGCAAGCAGGTCATTTGCGCGAGTGACCTCCGTGCCGCCCTTCATCCCCACACCCTCCACAGATTCACGATCATCGCCACGCACGTTCTCATCTGTGTCGCTTACGATCCCTTCGACCTCTTCACTCACCTCTTCACTGACCTCGTAAACCACATTTTCAATCTTGCCCTCAAACTCCCCTTCCACAACTCGGCCCGCGACATTTCTCTCTCCCTTCTCCTCAATTGCCGCTTCTTCGTGAACTTCCTTCTCCCCGCTCGTCCGACTCACGGTCACAGCCTCGTTCCCCTGCGTTGATGACGCAGCGTTACACCGCACGGCTGCTTCGACAGTGGAGGATATGACGCAGGCATCCCCGTTCCCTTTGCTGGCACCTACTACTCTCTCCAGAGCCTCGCCGGCGGAACGCTGCTCGATTGTTTGGGGCTCAGCATCGTTGGGGTCAACGTCTTCAGCGCACTCCTCGGTGATACTTTCTGCATTTGGTTTGCTCTGGCCTGGCACGATGCCCAAAAATATTTGTACCTTTTTAATCAGTGGATTATTTTGGAATAGTTTTACGTCTCCTTGTTTGTCAATAAAGAACTTCGTGTTTTCAAATGTATCTATACCCTGATGGGAAAGAAAGGGGTTTTAGAAAACAAAAAACAATTATTGAATGCAAAGCATATGCAAACGTACCCACATGTGAAGAGTTGGCATGGGAGTGTTGCATTAAAATTTATAGCATTGAAAACATTCGGTGGTGGGCTAAAGTATGGTTACGCCCATTTCTCCCCCGTGGGTCTGGTAAGCACGGAAGAGGAGATCTAAAGCGCTCTAGATCTCCTGCCAGGAGAGGCCCTTTCGCCACGAGTGGCGTGAAAGAGCAATTGCAGGGCTGCGACTTTACCTTGTGACCGAGACACGAGGGCGAGTGAACCGTGTGGGCATTTAGGCCGCCGTACGGTTTGGGCGTTCGCTGCCAGCAGAGGTGTGGACTCGAGTCATGTGACTTGGACTCGAGTCAGACTCGAGTCATGAATTTGATGACTTCAGACTCGACTTGGACTTGCATAACAATGACTTTGTCCCACCTCTGAGGTGTGGACTCGAGTCATGTGACTTGGACTCGAGTCAGACTCGAGTCATGAATTTGATGACTTCAGACTCGACTTGGACTTGCATAACAATGACTTTGTCCCACCTCTGAGATGTGGACTCGAGTCATGTGACTTGGACTCGAGTCAGACTCGAGTCATGAATTTGATGACTTCAGACTCGACTTGGACTTGCATAACAATGACTTTGTCCCACCTCTGAGGTGTGGACTCGAGTCATGTGACTTGGACTCGAGTCAGACTCGAGTCATGAATTTGATGACTTCAGACTCGACTTGGACTTGCATAACAATGACTTTGTCCCACCTCTGAGGTGTGGACTCGAGTCATGTGACTTGGACTCGAGTCAGACTCGAGTCATGAATTTGATGACTTCAGACTCGACTTGGACTTGCATAACAATGACTTTGTCCCACCTCTGAGGTGTGGACTCGAGTCATGTGACTTGGACTCGAGTCAGACTCGAGTCATGAATTTGATGACTTCAGACTCGACTTGGACTTGCATAACAATGACTTTGTCCCACCTCTGGCTGCCAGCCAATCGGTGCACTCGTGACTAAACTTCAACTTATTGTTTTTCTTTCATACAGCTAATTTGGATGCAGACCAACAACTGCGATTTCACATTCAGGTGGGTCAAGCCAGATAACCGTGTCAGGAGCAGCGGAGTGTGTCATCGCTGCGATGTCTCCTTTGGATTTGTGGATCGGGGCATTGCGTTGTTATAACGTTGTACGTTCTCTGTTCTGGATGTCCACAGTCGCACGCGACTTGAGAGTTCTTATATTTGTATTTGTGCATCTGCTGCCATGGTTTGTGTGGATGCGGTTTAGGGCGAACCATGAGCTAAACTTCACTGACAACGATTGGCGATAATGGCTACTGGTTTACGAGTTGTCGTTTAACAACCGTAAAGCAAACTCGTGCATAGGTATTGCCAAATAGAAATGCTGATGACAACCACAGACAAGCATGCCCAGCAAAGACAGCCAGGCACGTGTAAGGGCTTTGCTCCAGAGTTGAGCAAACTCAGGGACAGCACTCACCCAGTGCTGTGTAATTAATGGACATAAAAAGAGTAAATCAATAACAATGTGAAAACAAATATCCACGCGGTGGAGCGCGAGTAGAAAATGTAAACATTTGCGCTTCGTAATTTGTAAATCTCAAGCGACTATTTCTTTAGCGTTAAACAAATTATTTGGTGATGCTGCGTTTTCAGTGGCGCACAAGCACTCGACACATTCTCCAATGCCACTGCCTTAATATAAAACAATGTCAAATTGGAAATATTTCACGCAATGGCCCTTCATTATGTACTAGATGCAATTAAGAAGGGCCACTGCCCGAAACGTCGATGATTATTTTTTTGTATGTTTGTTGAACTTATTTCGCACCGTACATAGCCAACTGTGCTAATCGGAGGCTGCAAAGCGTTTTTGACGAATGCGTTGGCGGCTTCTTTAGCGACAAGTGTACGCGCCAATTCACTTCCCTGTGCACCCTAGCCCTCACACGTGACTGCATGGCGATGCACGCGTGGCTCTACAAATGGGTGATTGGGAATAAAAATTCTTGCCTTTTGAAACGCTTCGAAAAAGGTAGAGTGTTTCTGTTGGCCCATGATTCTCTTCGCCACGGTTACGACGCGGTTCCGCCTCTTCCGGTTGTAAGCCTACAGGCAACAACGACCAATTAAGCACGGTACCCTCTGCACAATACCAACAAAGTAAAACAGCAGACACTCCCCTCCGTCAATTTAAGACGTAGGCTTTCGCGACCAATATTATTCATAATATAGGTTTTTGGGTCAGATCGCGTTATTCATAAATGTGTCGTAACCCTCCACCACCCGACATGGCCAAACAGTAAAAAATGTGTCACGTTTTTCAAAGGACAAAATAATTCACTTCTTTAGCCCACCGGTGTGCTGAAGAGAGAATCAACAGCATTTTAAAATTTGAGTAGTACGACGTTTCGCTGATAATTACAATCAGCTTCATCGGGCAAGAATGGTGAAGCGCTCCTGTTGCTTCCGGTCTTAAATAGAGCAGCAGCATCAGGGTGACGTCATAATTTAATTCAATTCAATCTGGTGCAGTGATTCGAGGCAAGGAGGGGGAGGTTATTGTAATTATATAGATTGGTAATCATTCATTTGTTATTCATTGATATTTGTTTCCCTTATATTTGCCTCTCCACACTAAAATCGAAGGCATTGATTGCACTTCGCATCGGCCGCACGGCCATCTGCGAGCGCATCTTTTCAGGAGCATTGATTCAACATCAGCAAACTCTGGACCGGTTTCAACAATCAGTCTCTCATCAGCAGTCAGGCTCGCTTGAACCAATGCTGGAAAACTGCCCGATAATCTTTGCACTTTTTTATGGAGAATAAAAGTAACAACATAAATAAGCAGACATCATATTACTTATATTCTCCACAATGATGCCCAATTATTCTTGTGTGTTCTGCACAACAGAATGATTGGTCAATTGCCGTCTCTCACAGTGACTGAAAGCTGCGATAGATACGATTTAGCGCACTTCTTTAATTATTATAGTTTAGGAAAAAAGATGACGGGAGAGATTTCCCAAGTCGAGCAGTGTGAGGAAATGAGCTGAAAAAAAATTTTTTGATCTGCAGTGTGGTGACTGAGTGGGTGGGTGACTGTTATTATGACTTGCAGTGTGATGACTGAGTGAGTGACTGTTGTTGTGACTTGCAGTGTGGTGACTGAGTGAGTGACTGTTGTTGTGACTTGCAGTGTGGTGACTGAGTGAGTGGGTGAGTGTTGTTGTGACTTGCAGTGTGGTGACTGAGTGAGTGGGTTGAGTATTGTTGTGACTTGCAGTGTGATGGGTGAACACATTGCGGAGGAGACAAAACAGTCCGGTAGACCGAATCCTCAGCATGGCTGGAGGAATCAATGATTCAAGTTAATGGATAACCACAGTCGCAGCGATAGAAGAGTCACAAGGAGGCAACTAACGACCGGTGAGCGAGTAACAGCGAGCACCGGACCATCATTCAACCAGACTGTTTTAAGTTAAATCCTATACATTTCATAAAATAAACCCGAGCAGATTCCTTAAATTTCCCCCTTTGGAGAAGGTTTCTCTGACCTCTCTCCTTTTGATGTGCTCCTTCGAGTTCATGTGGCCCTGCAAACTGCTGGCGAGATACGGCACACACATGCCGCATGCGCGACACCATGAGGTGCGCAACACCTCCATGGTTTCATCCAGCTCCGCTCCAGCTGTGGGAACACGAAGGCCGCAAAAGAGGTCAGAACACGAGGAGGATGTAACTCCCGAGGCTTACACGTGCAACTTAGACACGTCGGGAAACACGGCAATTATAACGGTTAATATCGCGTTCAAATTAACGGTTGCTCCTGTGATACGACACCAATTGCTGGGTTTTGTTCTGACTTTTGTTGGATTTTCCCCAAGATGCTTGGCCTCATTTCAGTCAAAACGTTAGAGTTTCTTGAGAACTGTTTTTGCATTTAGTTTGTTGTCCTTCCCCCACACCTCTGATTAGCACAGTTGGCTACATACGGTGCGAAAGAAGTTCAATATACATACATATCCGATTAGTACATTTGATTGTTTGAATCTGTATTCACCTTACTAGTGCGAGCTAAAACAATACACGGAGCGGTGATGCGGCCTAGTTCTCGCACTGCATTCGCCGCTTGTTGCAAAGGCTCATGGTTGGAATCAAGAGGCCGCCCTGGTTAATACTGTGGGTGAAGTAATCTCAATAATACTACACTCTGATTCACAATGGACGTAAAAAATTACATCACATCGTTTTTGGGCATTGTGTGCCAGTCAGGGTTCAAATTACCTGCCAATTGCTCAATTGGGATTATACAGAGCAGCAATCACCCCTCACCCCGACTGGTAAACTAATGCCGAAGGTCACTCTTGCGAATGAGACTATCCTGGTCACTCGAGTTCTCACCGGGTTGAACGAAATAAAATGTAAATTTGCTTGGTCAATTAATTACGACTAATATTTGGCCAGATCATTACGTGAACACCCATGTGTTCAGTTGGCCAGGATTTAATTTGCTCACAGCTCTTCATCAATCCACTGCTGGATGAAAGGCTCCCCAAGCCATGCCCGTCATGAGGGTTGTACGACCATACTTCACCTCACTGGCGAAGAAGGGGCCTTCGGACCGAGTTCAAATATCACTCGCCACTGATTTTAGCCGAAGGCAAGTGAACGTGCATTCTCGTGAACACGCACGGGCAACACAAACCTTTGCCTGACGTCGTAACAGATAGACTCATTGTGAGCGGCCCATGGGCCCGTCTCCTCCTGTCGCCTACCTGCCGATTCTTCCAGCTCATCAGTGCCTGCAGGAACAGACAAATCACAGGTTTACATCAACCACAACAAATACATTTGTAAAAAACGTAAAACTAAATTATTTTTATTTATCTTTCATCATTCAATGTATATTTAAAATTGTTATTTTCCCACCCCCCCCCCTCGTGACGTTAGCTTCATCGTGGCGTGTCGCACGAAAACAAAAATACAATTCGCAACTCCACCTCGTGATAAGAGAATGGGCCCAGAAGTAGTTGTCACAGAACATCCGAAGTTACGTCAAGAGACCTCTCTCATACACACACATCTAAATTATACTCCATGGCAGAGTGTTCTTTTCTCTCGCGTAATTGTTTAATTCACTTAGATGCCAAATGAGGTACACATTCTTCTCTGTCTACTGCCAGATCAGAATTTTATTTTTCAGAATCACAATATTTATTTGTTATGAAGATTTTTTTTTACAGATGTCTAGTAGGGGCAGGGTCAGAACGTTACAACAACAATACAAAAAAACAATAGTACATAGTATAGGAAAGGTAAACAAATCACTTAAAATATAAACAAATTTTTAATCTTACCAGGTAAGGCACATTGAGCTATGTAGCCCAACAAAGTGGCTTATCACGTGGACATTTATAGCAGTCAAATACTCTAAACGCATGTGGAGGGGAAAAACCAGAGGTCCCAGAAAAATATCCATACTACGGGTGAGAGAGAACACGCAGACTCCGTAAACGAATAATCGTGTGGAGTTTGAAAAGCGCGCATTTTTGTTCATTCAAGCTCAAGACAGAAGCCGATTTGAGCTCACATCGAGAAAGTCAGAGATTTCCGTCCCGTCTGGGTGGTCTTCGCCAAGGTCGTGCAGCGTGTGCTTGTGCATGTCGCTCTGCATGTGTGCGTCCATCTGGGAGCGCTCCGCAGTCTTCACCTTGCACAGCAAGCACTTGTACATGGCACTACGGGGCACATTCACGAGTCGTGGTTGGCAACGCACGGTGCGAAAGAAGCTCAACATACAGACATACGTTGGAAACACAACGTGGCGCGGGCATTTAAAAAAAAAAAACTGAAACACGTACACGGCCTTCCATCGCCAGGGCCCTGCTGGATGAAGGTCTCCCCCACTCCGTGTTGGTTATGAGACTGTTTGACCATACTTCATCACGCTCCTAAGTGCGAGTTGGTGAAGGGGGGGGGGCCCTCCAGAATGGATATCGCTCACCAATGATTGCTGGTTATGGGCTAGGATTCGAATTGGGGTAATATAACAAAAGCACTTTGAGAACAGCTTGTTTGCCGTGTTTGCCACCGGCTCAGGTTTACTTGTGGTTGTGATTTTTGTGAAAGATTTATCCAAGCTTGCAGACTTTAAGTGCACCTTAAATACCCTGTGACTTGCAAGAGCAGGGAAACACCACTGGATATCATAAAGAATATCCCGAATGTAAACATAGCGCACAGCTTAACTGTAATAAATAATCGTTACACACATCGGCCAGACATCTTAAGCGATTCAAGATTGACACTTACAAAACGTCTCCTATGTCTTGCACCTTGTCCATGTCTGAAATAAATTAACAAACACACGTGTAAATAATAGTCAATCTTGATTTGACTAAATAATAGTCATCATGAGACCTCCTTTGCTAGTAGCAAAATATAATAGGTTTTTTACCCTTTTTATCTGGCAACAAAACTGACACCTTTTTACAAGAGATCATGTTTGCATTAACCATAATACCTGCACGTGAAAATCATTGCTATGTGCTATAGAATTATAGCACAGGGCAATTTCCGAAAATATTGCCGATACATTCCCTGGCAAGGCCGCAGTGTTAGTGACGAATGTGTCGCGCTTATTAATTGCACTTGTGCACCACTGGCGACGCAGCAGCAGCAGCTGCATCGCCAAATTATTTCCCTGCCTCTACGACCTTTATTGCGCTTTCTCGTCTATCCCACTCCTATCGGCACCAGCGTCTAGCAGTGCAAACTTTGTTCAAAGAAATTCAATGACAGCGAGGCCTCATTATAACATCTCCCCGCTTGTGCATTTTCCAACATCGAATGTTCCACGTTTGGAAATCCAGAGAAAGTCGCTACTGGCGTAATTACCGTCAACACCTTCCCCCGAGGAAACGTTTTCCTGCATCGACCGGTCAATTTGGCCGGTCTCCTGAAAAAGGTCACGTTGAAGTTTCATTGCAACAATGGGGCGGCGTGGTGGTGAGATGTTAACTACTTCAATCCCGACCGTGACGCCTGTATATTATGATTTGAAGCTTTCGTGACTGCAGGAATCCATACTCTTTGGTTCTTTCGGTAAAGTCATGTAGGTATAAAATAAAATAAATCACGACATTTTAGGCGCAACACAAGCATCCATCATCAGGTGGGAGTGGGCCTGATGGACTGGACGCTTGTGTTGCGCCCGAAATGTCGTGATTTATTTTATTTTATACCTCCGTGACTTTACCGAAGAGAACCAAAGAGTTTGTATATTTTGAGTGTGAATATTTTCTCCGTGGTCGCGCGGCTTTTTCTCCGGGTCCTCCGGTTTTTCTCTCCACATTTATAAACATGGATTTGTAGTATATGGCTGCTATAAATTTCCAAATGATAAGCCACTTTTTCGAGCTATCGTTTGTGACCAGGTCACTTCTATATCTCAGCGGGCCTTACCTGGTAAAATAGATTAGTTTAAGTATTAGTTTGTAATTCACTAATTTGAGAGCCAATGTAAAATATTTTAACAACCAAAATGAACTCCCACTAATCACACCTCTCTGGTCTCTCTCTGTCTTGTGAATAAAGGACCGTTGCTCAAAACATCCCCAATTATATCAATATTCTTATTGAGGCAGCAGTGCTATTGCCGGATGTATCGAGGTTTTTTGTGTGTGTTTATTACCACTGACGGTTAAAGTCTACATCCAACTTTAATGCCACTTTATTTAAATTCTTATGCAAGTTACACGTGAACAGTGGGACAGGGAGCAGACAAATAAAATCCGAAATTGGGATGAAACATTCGATATCTTCATGAAACCTGAAAGCCATCTGCATGGTGCACACTTGGCACAAACACCACGTTGGTCTTAAAAGTGTCACAATAAGTCCGACACTCACCTTGCAAAAACTCCATGATAGACACCGTTCTGCCTTCTGGGGTGGCCTTTAGGGAACACGCAGAGGCAACACAGTGAATTACTCAGGCGCCATGTGTGTGGTGATTGGTCTACATATTCAAACTAACTTTAGTGTTAAGCAACCGTGTGAACAGCTTGACAATGTGACACCAGACATGTTGCACAACACACAAAGTACAACAAGGGGTCTGGCTCTCACTGCCGTGAAGTCTAGCGGTTTGGGATGTGCTCCTGATTTTTTATCCAAAAAACCCAAAACTTCGGTCGAGATTTGAAATGTTTTGTTTCATTAAGCGGCCATTACACCTCCTCCACTTGTATGCATGTTGATCTTCTCTCAGATCAAAGTTGCCATTGCAAATGTCAGAATGGTCAGAAGATTGATTATCACGTGGCTTAATGGGGTGACGTTTGAGTGAAATATACCTGGTGAATGTGGTCATCTCTTGTTTTCAAAACTGGCAATAGCCAGTCCCTCATGTATAACCAGATAAGAGCCCCGACTCAGTTAAATTAATTTGCATCAACAACATTGCACCCATTATGTGTTATATTTCAGAACACATTTTCAAATTCATCTCCTATGAACTATAAGTTTTAGCAAAATTTTACTTTCTGTGCAATGGAAATGAGACTGTAGCGTCACGTTCACTCGAGGTTTTGTGAACATTGTGGCGGTACCTAAAGCCCCTGTGGTAATCCGGCCCTTCTTCTGCTTCTATCATGAGGTAAGGTGAATGCAGCAAGATGATACGTGTGGGTACTGAGGTTAATTGGCCCCATCTACAGCAGACGGCAGGCATTACACTGGTCAACAAAAAAAATACATGTTTTTCTGGCCTGGACTTTTGCAGCTGTTTTAGACTAATTTCAGGGTGCTGATTCCAAATCTGATCTCAGATTTGCTCTATCACATCTCATTTTATGCTATCGGCATACCCCATTTTCATTGATTTTACCCAAAATAAACTCCGTCACTTATGATTGCAAGTTGTTGCGAGTCAGTGACTGCTTTAGTGTTAAAATATGGTGCTATATTTTTAGGATAGTGTGTTTATAATATCATTCTATGTAGATATCCACATTTATTTAATATTTTTCTTCTGCAGTTTTTATTGAAAATGCAATATTTGATATCTCAAAAACCTGATGTGATAGACAAAAACTGATGCCAGATTTGGAATCAGCACCCCAAAATTATCTTAAAACCGTTGTAATACCTTATGCCAGAAAAAGTGTGTTGACCAGTGTTGTTAATGTTACCCAGGGGGACGCTGGGAGGCTTTGGGCCTTGAGCCGTCAACTGCTGAAGCGTGATTGTGCTGGGCGCAGAGATCTCTGGGATAATGTTGCTTACCTGTCCCGATTTCCCCGGTGCCGAACTTGAAGACTTTATTTCTGTGTCGTTAAATTGAAATAAATAAAACAGAAAATATTAAACAATCTTTAATTTAATCAAATACTCCACGTAGCTCTATTAGCATGAGGCCTTGTAGAATTGTATACACAGTTGGAAGCAGTCATGCACCATTACAGAGCCCTAAGCATTTCAGCAGACCCCAGCTTTGAAACCATGGTTCAACACTTTAAGATTATAAAATAGAGATATTGTGAAAATCTCTAGTTCCTCACTGTTAACATATCGTTTTCACTCTGCCATACATCACAAGACGCACACGATAATAAAGCGAGTGTACAAATTTCTGCGTCAATTCTTCATCCCGGCGTGGCTCTAAATGGGTGGGTTCGCTCACCGGGTTTGAATTGTTTTGCCTGCGAAGCCTCTCCTCGTGGGAACGTCCTCTTGAGGCTCGTGCCGGGCCTCACAGACCTCGAGGCGTTTGGATTAACCAGCTGCCGGGGATGACACATCACGTTCAAGTCAAAGCAAGTCAGAGATGTCCCTGCTCGATTTTGAGCACGTAGGCATTGCTCGCCTCCTGCTTACAGACCTGAGCCAGTTGGTGGAAACTCCACGTTGCTGTGACAGAGGAGAGTATATCCAAAGGACAACCGCTTGTTGACTTCCCCACAAAGTGGGTACTTGTTTTATCAACCTGAATTAATGATGGGCTGAGTCAACCGCCAACCGGGATTTGAAGTTGCAAGATCGTGAGCCGCCCGCGCTACCGTTGTGCCACCAGGCCGGATCCTGGTTGGCGGGCACATGAAGAGTTTGGATGATGATGCTTTTTGTAGACTCAGGGGTGCGTTCAATTGGTAGAGTGCTCCAGAGTGCTTTTCTATTGACTAAAACTACACCAAGTTATATTTAGTTTACAAGGTAAGGCCCACTGGAGCTATACAGCTCTTTTTGTAGAAGCGATAGAAGACACTGTTGTTTTTTGGTACATATATGCAAGGCAAACAAAGGATGTTTTGTTCCAAGTCCAGCGTAAACAACAATTAAAAAGCACATTACTTACATTGCTTGCAATGGCTGCAGATGAACCGGGCGGCTTTGGAGGTGCTGCAGACATGCTCGCCTTCTGCCCAGATGCTGGGCTGGCACTCTTGCCTGCTTCATTGCCTTTTGACAGTGGATGGGTCTGCCGACCACCACCACCACCACCCGAGGTGCAATTACCTCTTTGCAGAGTGCCAACGCTTGTGCCCGCTGCAGCATACGAGGCTTTCTTCGATTCCACAGCAGCAGTATTCTTGGAGGCCTTTCTTTGTTGGCCTCCAAGTTTATTTTGACCTTCAGCTTTCACGCTACTCGTTTGTGTGACTGGCCGTAACTGGCCTGGCCGATTTACTATCCCAGTTGGATAAAATACGACGCTTCGGTTATTTGAATGACCACCAAAACCTGACCTGTTTGTCAAACCTCCATGGCCTGGCTTATTATAAGGACCTCGAAAACCTGGTATGTTTGGACCTCCAAAGATAGGCCTGTCATATTGACATTCAAAGCCTGGCCTGTTGTTCATGCTTCCAAAATCAGCCCTGCTACCCGGACCCCTATATTGGGGCCAGTTTCCTAGCCCATGAAATTCTTGCATATGGGCAGGTCTTCGATTCTGGCCCGGCCATCCAAAGCCTCTCCGGTCAGACGGCTCTTGCTGAACAGGTGCATTGTAATGCATCTCGTAGTCATTCCTTCGACTTTGTGGGCCATATGGTTCACCTGGAGGTGAGTTATGGCCACCATGCTGAGGCCCTCTCAATCTTCTTCTGCCTTGATGGTCCAAAAACTCTGATTTATTGTAGCCTAGGTTATCAGCGTCTTGCCTGGAGTCAAAAGACTCACGATAGCCATACCTGAAAACCAAAAGTCACATTTAAAAAAGGTATCATAACCTTTTACAGCAAATGAGCATTTAAATAGGTAAACTAACGTGAATGCATAAATCCTACAATATTTAATAACAGCTTCAAAATCAGTCCAAACACCATAAAATACCTTTACACAAAATATACAATTCTTGCCGTTGCTTCTGCTTCTTACAAACTCAACACAAGGAGGCTTATGTTGGGAATTGCTTGTTGTAAATATGTTTTCCAATCTGATGCGAAGAAGCATCACTTTCCTCTTTGAATACATCTTCACTGGTGCGATTGAAGGAAACAACCACTGGTACAAGATTTACATTGTCCACATCAAAGTAAAGGAAACAATAGCAAAACCAACACTGGGCAGTTTCCGTCTTTACTTGGTTCCAAAGAACAGAGTAGTTGGTTGGTGAGTTTTTGTGCCGAAGCATTTGGCATGGATGGTGCTACTCCATAGCAAGCCTCTGAATCGATGCCTGGCATAGTCATCAAATGGGTCAATAACACATTTTAAATCACGTGTTTAATTGGTCTGCACTTTCAGCGTCTAACCAGAGAGAGTGGAGACTTTGTTGGCATTCCAGTTACCTTCTCCAGCCAAACGAATTATTTTAACTGGAGGAGGATGTGCCCCTACAGCCAGAAGGCTTGAAACTTTCACTGCAAATCTTGGGGATCAAGTGTCAACCTCACAACTGCTGCGGGATCTCTACCTCCTTGACATTGTGGTGGTTGCTGCCTATTGAGGTGGATTTTCTAATGTCCGAACAGGCTGATACGGCACGGGCGGCACTTTCAACACTTCACCGTAAAATGGATAGTGATGTTTTTTTTCCATCAGCCATTGTTTTTCGGGATCTGGTAGAAGGCAGCGTTGCTAAAACGTGGAGACACCAAACAGCACCACACACAATGACCACTTCAATAGACAATTTATTTAATTTAATCCAGTGTCATCTTGTTCTTCCAAGCGTTTGTCCCACTCGTGGGGTCCGCTGTACTTGCCAACCATGTTGCCCTGTCCTGCACCATCTCTCTTTCCGCTCCTCGGGCCACCATTCAATCCGGCGTACAGATTCCAATCCCAATCTTTGAAGAAACATTTTCTTCTTAAAGGCTTTTCATTAAAGCATAATTTAGATGTTTTCCGCATACCATACCATATACGCAAACCAAATAACTGCTGATCGTAATGAGCCACCGATTTCTTCATGTGCCCAATGAATAATAATCACTGCCAACATTTTCCTTATCCTGGTTGGTTTTTCATGTCTCTTAACATTCATGTCCATAACTAAAAAATGTACAGCTCTTTCTTTGTTATGGTTCTCCACACTGTGCCCATCATGGAATTTGCTTTGCACATACTTCACCACACCAGTGAGCGCGAGTTGCAGATGAGGTTGGGGGGTGAGGGCGGGGTGGAACCCGTTTAGGTATCACTCGCCACTGATGAAATCCATGCCAGGGAATTCAAATCAGATCGCCAGGGTTTCATAGGGCAGCATGCTAACCACTGCGGCGCCGCACCAATATATTTAAATACAAATATTACTTGAATCTCCTTGAATATTTGTGAATGGCAAAGTTCCACAAGAAAATGGCAAATATTATTTTTAAACCTCCATTTCTGATATGAGCAACAAAGTGATGGAAAGAGCGCACCGACACAAAAGCCACACTTCTGTCTTGAAGCAACCGAGACGTGAACATTTCTGGACATTTTTTGGAACTAAATAGTTATACGCATTCTGTCCTTTGTGTCCAAGGATGACCCTGCCGACGGACGGTGTGCCGTGTGCTACTACTGTGCCTGTGTAGGCCCATATCTGAGTGGCAGCCCTATGTTGGAGGTCAAAGAATGCACCCCAACTGCTACCAGTTGTCTTGTCTTTTGTGTGCCGCTGGATCGGAGATGAGCAGGGCGAGAGCGTGGGAGCCGCTACGCGAACCATCGTCGCTGTAAACGACTCGCGGAGTGGCGAGCAGAGAATTGTTCACTCTGCATCGGTTTCAGATCTTTGTGTCCTTTAAAAAAAAATGTATGATCATATTTTGATAAAATCTCATCGTGAATTTTCTTCTCATTTTCAAATCTTCATTGTGTCATCTTGTGCCATCAATATGTAAATAAGTTATATTATTATATTTCTTTTGATATCTCACACACAAGTATTAAAGGGCATTTTTTTCTAAACTCTTAATGAGTATGCACGGAGACTCCTGTGAACATTTCCTGTGACCTGCTCTGAAAAGAGGAACACGTTTTTGTCTCACAAACATCAAAGTGTTGTCTGCATCAGGCACAGAGCCCTGTGAGCTTCACTTTTCTCACATTGTGAAGTAATTCGTTTTAGTGCTGCCGTGTGGATTACAGAGGTCTTTATAAATCCAACGGCAGTACTGTGGTGTTCAACACTTCTGATAGAATCAGTAATCATTCTTTATTTTTTGTAAATCGCTGTAAACCTTCTTGTACAACTTCCTTATTTTAAACAGATGTGGACTGTATCAGCATTATAAAAAAGGCCTTACCCTTTTTGGCATATATACACTCTCTGCATTGCGTTCCCACAAGAATGCGTAGTTAATGCAGGCTTGCTGCCTTGTAATATATCTATTTGTTGTTTGAATATCTAATACCTGTAGTTATGCCAGAAATGGTAAAGTATGGTTTTTTTATTTCGATTTAAAGCTTTCGTGACTGCAGGGATTCATATACTTGGTTCTTTCGGTAAAGTCACGTAGAAGGGAAATAAGATAATAAAAATAAAACATAAAATAAATATCTTTATACCGTTTGATTATTTATTAGAAAAAATTATATTATTTTATTATTTCCCTTCTACGTGACTTTACCGAAAGAACCAAGAATATGTTTTTTTAATGTAAATTGACAATCTGTTTGGTTAAAATTCACAACCCTTCCAAACATGGCAAGCACTGCAACATAAAAACATAATGGAATTACAATCTACAAAGCACGGTGACCCACGGCCATGCCAAAAAACCATGCGGAGGCAAACAGTCCGTAGCGCCTAATGTGAATAGGCATTTGTTGACATTTAAGTTGCGACTCTCACACAAACTAATTATTAAGACGCACTTTTTCTACACAAACCTAAGGGTGCCACTCAATATGCAGATGTAAAAAGGAAGTTTAAGTTTGATGGAATCAGACCCTCCTCCTCAATGTGTTATCTTTAATGGGAAAAGTCAACGGCTGAGAATCTCACTGTTGTATGTTCACATTTCCAGGTGGCTCAGGATTTGCCTCTTCCTCTTAGCTGCCTCTATGCCGACCCTCTGACTCAATGCCATTGACGGTAATTCACCGTTCAGCTCCGTTGAGCACCTAGTAAATATCGAGGGACTGCCTTTAAAACTCGTGTAATGACGACTGGGACCCAATTGTCTTGGGATGGTTTCTTTATTGAACACGAACACTTGAACAGGCGGAGACCCCATTCCAGGCAGCCCAGAGCCTCCTGCCAATTCTCCTTATTTTCGGTGCGTAGCCACGCCCCTGTCCCGTGGTCTATTCTTGAACCTGCATGCTGGCGCTAGACCACTCGTTCGACTCCTGTCCTCTTACGTCACCTGGCCACACCCCTATTCTTGATCATTTCCGTAGCCACCAGTCCATTCGCACTGCACGCTGAATCCTTTGCCGTTACCTCCCGTAGCCACCAGTCCATTCGCACTACAAGCTGACTCCCCTGTCATTACTTCCCGTGGCCACTAGTCCTTCGCACTGCAAGCTGACTCCCCCCTGTCATTACTTCCTGTGGCCACCAGTCCATTCGCACTACAAGCTGACTCCCCTGTCATTACTACTCGTGGCCACTAGTCCATTCGCACTGCAAGCTGACTCCCCCCTGTCATTACTTCCCGTGGCCACCAGTCCATTCGCACTGCACGCTGACTCCCCTGTCATTACTTCCTGTGGCCGCAAGTCCATTCGCACTACAAGCTGACTCCCCTGTCATTACTTCCCGTGGCCACTAGTCCATTCGCACTACAAGCTGGCTCCCGTCATTACTACCCGTGGCCACTAGTCCATTCCCACCGTAGGTTGACTCTCCTGTCATTACACTTGCATCCCTTCAGTTTAACAGGGAAATGAAGACCAGGAGACGTGACCTTGACAATAACCAAATTGGATTTTGAACGGCACCCTAAAAAACAGTGATGTTTAATTACTTCAAATAATAAACAATACTTGAGCATACAAATCTAGCAAAGAAGGATGTTAATTTCCAAAGTAATAAATGTTAACAAGAATATAAGATCGATGTTTGATGTAAAAAACACAAATGTGGCATTTTCATTGTAAATACAAAGCGGTGATTTTCATCTTGTAATATTCTAGGACAAGCAAGTTTGTATCAAGCGAAATGTGTTTTTTACGACAAGTGTATTTGTTTCGGTACTTACCCTTCGTCTTGTGGGCTCGTGTCCCGAAATTCTCCACCTGTACGGACAAAGAGCATTCACTTGCCAGTGACTAACAAACGTTTTAAAAGTTTCATTTATTAGGTACTAGCTTTACGACCCGGCTTCGCCCGGGACTTAATTCACCACGCCCGGCCGCATTTGTCTCCCTAGTGGCGATGTTCACACACCACAACAGTTAATTGTTTGAGGCTGAGTCGACCTAGGGGAGGCCCAGGACCAGTTCAAATAATCGTCACCGGTGGTGGCCGTGAGCGGGAATCGAACTCGGGTCGCCGAGTTCGTAGCGTGGCGCGCTAACCACTACACTACAAGGCGTGACGCTTCCACATGCGCAGGTCACGTGACAGATTTGACGTCACAGCTCACTTGCTGTGCAAAAAAGATGCATTATTGAGCTCCCCCCTCCTAAAAAAAAGTTTATTTTTATAATGTTTGCATGGTGTACAGTCTGGAAAGTACCCACATAGCAAATTTCCAGTTTGTTGCATGTCGGGAAGTACGCTAAACATTTTGAACAGACACACATATTCACAACTTTGCCTTTTATATATATAGGAGATAGCCCTGTGAGCCATGCGGCTCTTGAGTCGGGTGCAACCGCAACAAACAAAACATGAACAGAGAACATCTTAAAGCGACGACGCGCAACAGAATCATCCTGAATAAACCAGCAGATCTTCCAAAAAAACAACAACACCGTATTACAACGCCGTGTGCAAAAATCCCCAGAAATTAACCATAAAGCCATAGACAAGTGATAACATTTCAACACAATCACACTATGTATATATCTACATAATATATATGTACATAACGTGATTGTGTAGATACATAACATGATTGTGTACGTATATACACGTACCAAAATGTAAGTAGATATACACACATTTGGGTTGACCCATCATCCTTCTGGGGTGTATAACACAAGTACCACATTGTGTAGGAATGAGGAATGACCACCAGTAGCTCAGGGCTGTTAATGATGAACACCAATGTCTCAATGCTTATTTGAGCAGGAAATCATTTTGACTTTTCTTAACACGTTTGCATCATATCAGCAGCAACAGCATTTGTCTCCTACTGGATCAAGGCTTCCCCAAACTGTCTCCATCATCATCACAATCAGCTGTGATGAAGATGACTGGCTGATCTCACACCAGATCTGGCCTCACTATGGACACTGAGATTTGTGAATGAGAAGTTTCACATCTTCATTAAAAAATACTGCATATAATTAACTTGCAAGATAAACACAGAAAAGCATAGAAGACCATTCTGGCTGTTGTTATTAATGATTAAATGTATATTTCGCCTTTCATCAAGAATCTCGGAGTGAGCGCTGTACAAGACTCAGTCGCAGACACTTGGCCTAACAATAACTCGTGAAAGTAAAAAGGAAGAAACAGCTAAATAATCTAAATAGTATCTAAATAGATTTCAAGACGTGCCATTGTTGTTGTCGTACGGCCTTCTATCAATCGCTCTCACTTGACAGAACAAAACATTTCAGATGTCAAAAAAGTCATACCAGGGTGATCGGCTGGGTGATCAGACTTGATGATCTTGATCATCGTTGTCAGAAGGCTGGCTGCGGTGCTGTAGGTTTCACATGTTGGTCGTCTGGCGGCCCCACTTCCTCTGCACCACAAAAAAATCAACAAAGATGGAAAAAGACAGCAGCACTGAATGTACTTTTCGCACCCAACTCGCGCTCAGCTTCCGTAATTTTACACTTACAGAATGGCCAGCATGCAATTTACACGAGCTGAAAATCGCTTAATCCATGCATAATCACAATGCGTATATTCTGAGTGAGCAAGCACCTGTTCATTTATGAATCGGTAAATCGGTAAAACTGGTGTACGTCGAGTTGGGATGTCCTCCCGAATCCCATATTTATCTTTAACGCCTATAAAAAAGTCTGAAACTCATCCCTCATATGTATGTTGAACTTCTTTGGCGGCGTATGTAGCCAACCGTGCTAATTAGAGGCGCGTGGGAAGGGCAACAGTGCAACGTTGCATATCCGACTATCACACACCCACACTGACCAATGCAGCGCACCATTGACGCACGGTGTAACCATCAACTTTGATAGCTGATGTTTTTGCATTTCTCACACTGGGCACAACACAGGCCAACACTGGTCACACTGAATATTACTCGAGGCAGTAACACCTCTACCGGCTACACGCACAGCCGATCACTCGGCGAGGTCCCCCCTCTCGTCTCCGCCGCTGGCTGGCGACGACAGGCGATGGAACCCACGCAGGAGATCTTCCACGTTGACGGGCGAGGGAGAGAGATGTCGGTGAACAGCGACGCAGCCAGGACTCAGGCCCCCCCACACGAGCTCCGGGTCCGCCCCCCCCTTACACCCCCCCAGGCCCCGCCCCCCCTTACATCCCCCCCAGGTGTGGCTAAGCCCCGCCCCCCCCTTACACCCCCCCAGGCGTGGCTGGGCCCCGCCTCTGGCGGCGCCCTCTCGTGGAACCTTCGAGCAGGTTCCGGGAGTATCTCGGTTCGCCCCGCCTGTTTCCTTTGCCCCAGGTATGCCTCCTTCCCTGATTGACTGTTACCTCTGTGCCTGTACCCGCGATTGCCTTCCCAGGCCAGTGGGTGTCACTTTGTCGTGTCAGCAGGTGTCACCCTGTCATTACACACGTACTTGGTGTTCTGAGAAGTAACACCGGCAGATTGCCACCACTGAACTGTGTCATTTACCCACACGGCATGAATGAGAACCACAAACTTTGGGAATACATTTCTGCCCAAACCCTCAATGACTCGTGGAAGTTCGACTGTATTACAAACACCGCGGAGACATCAAGGTCTCGTACCTGTGCCAAACCATAACGTGTACCCGTGTTCTTGTACAGGGACATTGGGTTTGCAGGTCAACATGGCGTGCAGCCATTTCAATACGGGCAAAAATAACATAATTTTTGTGTCTATTTGTTTGTGTTTCTCCCTTGTGATGGGACTTTGAAGGATGAACGTTGATATTTATAAGTGCACGGGGTGACCAATAAGGTATGAATTGGTCTGTAAACACATTCCTGCGGAGGGAGCTGGTAGGAATGCTGGGTTGCTCGGTCAATGGCCAGGGTCAACGGCGGCGTGGTATATTCCGCAAACATGGCCGACTGTGAGGGCGAGCACAAGCCGGCGTGAGTAGGTTAAACGTTGAGTTTTATAAGGGCACCACGGGGTGGCCAGCCCCTCCCCACCCCTCCCACCCCCACCCAGCCCCTCCCCACCCTCCCCTCTCCACCCAGCCCCACCCCTCCCATTTTTGGATGCACGACGGACGGACACAATAATCCCCTGTGGGCTGGTGTAACCAGGAGGTTCCTACCAGTATAACGGGTTGACAAGTATGAGGTCGTACCTCGGTACACGTCTTGGTGATGACCCCTCGAGCCAGTGTCTCTGTAACCATAATCATCACGTCTTGAAATGTAATTGCCACCGAAGGAATCTAGAAGGGCAAAAATGTGGACATTAATTTAAACTCAGCAGTCATAATACTTCCATGCAGAGTAGAAACAATTGTTGCTTCATTTTTGTTACCCTTCATTTGAGCCATTCACATTTTGATGCGAATGCACAGCATATCATTTGGGTGTACATAAACCTTCTCATGCGCAATCAAAGAACTTAGACATTAACGCTGTGCATCAAAAACAGCATTGTAATTGTAACTCCATGGACTGACTACACAACGAGATGAATGCTGTACCTGAAGCTTGATCTCAATCCATTGAATGCATGCGTTACCATACAATGCAAACTTCAAAATATACAGCAGGCGTCAGGGTCGGGATCGAACCCACGACCTCCTGTACACCAGGCGAGGGAGTTAACATCTCCGAGCCACCGTGATGATGATGAGAGACACGCAAACTCCAAATACACAGCAGGCGTCAGGGTCGAACCCACGACCTCCTGTACACCAGGCGAGGGAGTTAACATCTCCGAGCCACCGTGATGACGAGAGACACGCAAACTCCAAATACACAGCAGGCGTCAGGGTCGAACACACGACCTCCTGTACACCAGGCGAGGTAGTTAACATCTCCGAGCCACCGTGATGATGAGAGAGACACGCAAACTCCAAATACACAGCAGGCGTCAGGGTCGAACACACGACCTCCTGTGCACCAGGCGAGGTAGTTAACATCTCCTAGCCACCGCGAGGCTCGGGGTGTCACTGTGTATTGTCCAGACCGCTGCTACGGCTGGCTTGAGAGTGTTGTAACACGGTATGGTAACACGGTATGATAAACAAGGCGGATGGATGTGGCGCAGGCAGCTTCAGCGGTATAGAAGCGAGCGAGCGCCTTGTGGGGAACACGGCCTCGGTAGCTCCACACACCACGGGAGTCCGTGTGGCGTCAGTGTGTGGTGAGTCTGAGGGTGTGGTGGCTGGTGGTGGTGCTGGTGGTGCTGGTGGCTGCTGGTGGTGGTGCTGGTGGTGCTGGTGGCTGCTGGTGGTGCTGGTGGTGGTGCTGGTGGTGCTGGTGGTGGCTGGTGGTGGTGCTGGTGGTGCTGGTGGCTGCTGGTGGTGGTGCTGGTGGTGCTGGTGGCTGCTGGTGGTGCTGGTGGTGGTGCTGGTGGTGCTGGTGGTGGCTGGTGGTGCTGGTGGTGGTGCTGGTGGTGGCTGGTGGTGGTGCTGGTGGTGGTGCTGGTGGTGCTGGTGGCTGCTGGTGGTGGTGCTGGTGTGGCTGGTGGTGGCTGGTGGTGCTGGGTGGTGGCTGCTGGTGGTGGCTGCTGGTGCTGGTGGTGGCTGGTGGTGCTGGTGCTGGTGGCTGGTGGTGGTGGCTGGTGGTGCTGGTGGTGGCTGCTGGTGCTGGCTGGTGGTGCTGGCTGGTGGTGCTGGCTGCTGGTGGTGGCTGGTGGTGGCTGGTGGCTGCTGGTGGTGGTGCTGGTGGTGGCTGGTGGTGGCTGGTGGTGCTAGTGGTACTGGTGGTGGTGGTGCTAGTGGTGGTGGTGCTGGTGCTGGTGGTGGTGTTGGTGCTGCTGGTGGTGGTGCTGGTGGTGGTGCTGGTGGTGGCTGGTGGTGCTAGTGGTACTGGTGGTGGTGGTGCTAGTGGTGGTGGTGCTAGTGGTGGTGGTGCTGGTGGTGTCCAGGCGGTCGTCTCACCGCGGCGCTCACGCGCCATCTCCGCTCCGCGCGCTTTGAGGAAAAACTAGAAAGTGCGGAAGCTGGCGTCGTGTCGTCACCACGTCCCGCGACGTCATCGCGCGGAAACGATGACGTCATCGCGCGGAAACGATGACGTCATCGCGCGGAAACGATGGCGTCATCGCGCGGAAACGATGACGTCACCGCGTGGAAACGATGGCGTCATCGCGCGGAAACGATGACGTCACCGCGCGGAAACGATGGCGTCATCGCGCGGAAACGATGGCGTCATCGCGCGGAAACGATGGCGTCACCGCGTGGAAACGATGGCGTCATCGCGTGGAAACAATGACGTCATCGCGCGGAAACGATGGCGTCATCGCGCAGAAACGATGGCGTCATCGCGCGGAAACGATGACGTCGCCGCGCGGAAACGATGGCGTCATCGCGCGGAAACGATGGCGTCATCGCGCGGAAACGATGGCGTCACCGCGTGGAAACGATGGCGTCATCGCGTGGAAACAATGACGTCATCGCGAGGAAACGATGGCGTCATCGCGCAGAAACGATGGCGTCATCGCGCGGAAACGATGGCGTCATCGCGCGGAAACGATGGCGTCATCGCGCGGAAACGATGGCGTCATCGCGCGGAAAGGATGGCGTCACCGCGTGGAAACGATGGCGTCATCGCGTGGAAACAATGACGTCATCGCGAGGAAACGATGGCGTCATCGCGCAGAAACGATGGCGTCATCGCGCGGAAACGATGGCAGTCATCGCGCGGGACTACAAAGAAGAACGATGACGTAATGATCTGCCAGGGTGGTCCAGATGTCTTGTGACCCTAAATTATTTTACCACCCCCCCCCCCCCTAACACTGCTCACAAATGCTAAGCTTAGCGAAGTGGCTTATTATCAAGTGGAAATATACAGCAGCCAAATACTCTAAACGCGTGATGTTGTTTATAAATGTGGAGGGAAAACCTGGAGCTGCACGCGAACACGAGGAGAGAGACGCAAGCGCCAAACACACAGCAGGCGTCAGGGTCAGGGTCGGACCCAAGTTGATATTCGTTTACAGGCCATTGTAAATGTGCAAACTAACAACATGCACATGATTATGCCAGGAGATTCCCATCCGTATTAACACCGAAGCGAGCAATGATGCATATTCCTATTTAGGTTTAAGTACAATGGCCACATGAGCTTAGGTATGTTCTAGATATGCGGAGCATTACTTCCGAGAATAACAATTGAATGCAAAAAAATAATGAAGAAAATGCAAATGATTCTAGAGAGATTTCAGAAACGGGAAGAATAATCCGAACCAATGTGCCGAAGGAAAAGGAAACAAAAATGAAGTATGAACTTTGAATATACTTCATGCAAATAAACTAAACTAATGACTTTATTACACTCTCTAACCATGAGGACAATGTTCATAATATTATTAATAATCCACATGCGTGTATGTACAATCATTTGTTCACACATTTGTTTGTGTAGCAGAACGCAATCCCTGTGTACGTGAACTGCTGTGTATGTACACTCGTGTGTGTATGTACAAAGCGGTATGTATGCACATTCGTCTATGTATATACACTGCTATGTCTATTCGTGTGTTGGTGTGTGTGTACATGGGAGTGTATGTGCGTACTCGTGTTTGTATTGGAACGCACAAATTATATTGTTTCGTACAAAGAATTGAGGGCAACGTGGTAATGAATGCTCCAACCCAACAGGGAACTACAGGGGGATGACACTCCCCGCTCGTGGTGCTAAATTAATGAAAACAGCGCCACTGAGTGGACAGAGCCCCGCCCCTACAGCTCGTGCGTGTGACGTAGTGAGTGTGATCAGCGGACAGCCACGATGCTGCCAGGTGAGGGTAAACGTGTGATGGAGATGCTCCACCTGAAACTCTCCTCCGCACGTGTTCGTCATGAACATTTTAACAATAAGGGGCGATTAGTCATCTTTAACATATCAGGCGTGGCCACCCACCCCCCACGTGTGCCACAGTGCCGGCAGCCTTCATAAGTGCTGCTGCTAACAAGCCCTCTCCCCCACAACGCTGCTGCTGCTTCTGTACGTTGACCGCTGCTCCTTGGATAAGCCATCTTCCAGGTACGTTGCGTGGTGCGAATTCGTAGTCAATTCTGAACACCAGTGTCGTGGTTTCTCCGGAGACACTTTGTACAAATAGTTGCTTTATCGGTCTGTCCTTTAAAGTGTGACACAACTAAGAAGTATGTTGTAGACGTTGTGAGGTTGATTATCCAAAGAAGAGACATCGTTATCTGCCCTGCATATATAATTAGCCAGTGGCGGCTCCTGCAAAATCTTTCAGGGGGGGCAAATGTCTGGATGATTGATAAGGATAAGGTCCACCCATGCAATGGATAAATTAACAGCTTAAGCATGTAAAGGCAACTTCACTTCTTTAATATTAATGAAAAATAAAGCGACTCTTACAATACATCTTGTTTGTTTCTATACTCACTATTAAAACAAACCACTCAAGTTTATTTTATTAAAGATTCCACTAGGTGGCGATAAATTATATTGTTGGATGAAACGTGCTTACGTATGATGACGTTAGCACGTATGATGACGTAAGCACGTTAGTGCATGCCCTCCCGGAAGCCATAGAGAATGCATTGGAGCGCCCCCGTTCGAAAAAAAAACCATCTTTGAATGTAAGTCTATGGGGCCACTCGGGGCGATTCTCAGCCGGAGTGAAATCGCCCAAAAAGAGGCGGTACTCCACAGAACGTGACATGACGCTGATTGGACTATATCCAGAGGCTGACAGTGACGGCTAGCGTGACTCTGTGGTTGAATGACATTGGTGGTGCGTCGCCCAATCGCCCTAATGAAGAAACCGCCCCTGTAATTAGCTAATATATATGCAGTGCACAGAAATATAATTTTTTGGTGGATTTCACACCTGATGATGATTGCTTATGTTGCAGTCGAAACGTGAGAATTTGTATTGTTTTATAGTATTTTATTAGTTCCCGTCTACGTGACTTTACCGAAAGAACCAAGAATAACAATCCCAAGCTTAATTTGGAGCTTTCGTGACTGCAGGAATTATTCTTTGGTTCTTTCGGTAAAGTCACGTATAAAGATAAAATAATAAATTAAATTAAATACTAGCATACGACGTTTCGATTGCAACACAAGCAATCATCGTCAGGTATAAATTAAATAGGAACAAATCTAGTATACTTAGAAACGTAATGTAATACAACAGAGAGTCGTATAACATAACAGTCAACACCCTATCTGGTTGATTACGTTCTTCCTGAGAATGCTAAATTTGAGAGAGAGAGAGAGAAAAACAAGAATAATTCCTGCAGTCACGAAAGCTCCAAATTAAGTTTGTACCACTTCTACGGGGAAGTTTTAAGTTTGTTTTTCTCTCTCTCTGGGTTTTTTAGGTCTCTCTCTGCTTGTGTATCGGTCTTCGTGTCTGTGTTTTTTCAAATTTCACACTTAACTTCTAATTTAGCAATCTTTGGAAGAACGTAATCAACCAGGCTATGCGTTAATTGTGTGTTGACCGACCCTAGGTTAGTTAATTTAGTGTGTCTCTCTCCCTGCCTCTTAATTTTTTCAAGCTTTCGTACCGTACCACTCATCGTGCTACTCATTGACATGCTAATTTCTCTAACCCCTCTCCCCCCCTGCCCCCCTCGCCCCCCTCTCTCAAGCTTTTTACACCTTGCCACTCACCGTTTCCACTCATGGACATGCTAATTTCTCTAACCCCTCCCTCTCTCCCCGCCCCCGCCCCCCCTT